TAATGTTAGCCAGTGTCTTGTGGTATGGAAAGGGAAAACAAACATAACATTTTAGCTTGACCTTGATCAGTTAGGCTACCTTGCTCCCAAAAAAAGTCTTTCATGAAAGACTTTTTTTGTACTTTTGTTTTCCAACAAGATATAGGATAATAACCAGAGCTTTTTGGAGATTTTAGTTAGGAGATTTGTATTAGCCTACTGTTGGACTGAGTCAGGCTAGCTGTTTCTGTGGACAGAAACAGAAACAGCTGTTTCTGTTTCTGTAGTTATGCTAGGCTTTACTAACTACCATGTAGCAGGCAATTTGGTAAATAGTGGATAAAAAACAACAACTATTCAGACAAATTGTGGTTTAAGAATCATTCAGCACAAAATAAAAACTATTATCTAAATCAAAGAGTGTATTTCCTTTTTCACTTGATAAATTCACTTCTATTTTATTCTGCTTCTCAGGCAACATGTGGAGCTTCAACACTTAAAAGAGAGCAACAGACTCGCCACAGTGTAACAGTGAGAGGCAGCGCAACATCACACTTAAGTGTCGTCAACAGATGCACTCATGGACGCAATTTACTTTGCATCACAAAGCAATAAAGCTTAGAGGGCAAACCCACTAATAGAGCAGAAGCACTACAAAGGCCCAAAAATAGAAACAACAGAATGAATTCAATGGAGCTAAAGCTGCTCATGTAGCGCTGTTCCTGTTGTGACTCATAAGTGTTAGTTTTGTGTCTTGATGACGCGGGTGGATGCGTGGGAGACACTAGGGGAGGGTGGGCGTGTGGGGGCAGCAGATGTAACGCTTGTGTTCCCCAGACTCTTGTCTTCCACTCAGCCTCACTTTCATTCAGCTGGTCGTTGCTACGATACAACATGGGAGATGAAACTCGAACAGAATACGTAGACAACCACAAAAAGCTATTTGTCACGTTTGTACTCATCCTAAGAATGCTTTTCTATCTCTGAAACAACTATTCACATGACGTTAGCTTGCAATGGAGGGGTTAACACTAACCACAACAAAGCAATGTTTGTCATGTTATTAACACTAGACTGCCAAAGTTCACATGAAGTATTTGGTCACTCAGACTCTCAAGTTGAATTCATCTGTTGTGACAAAAGAGTCACACAGACTTTGTTTTAAACATGAAGCTCCATGCACACTACCTCTGGTATTTCCCTTGGCATTTCCAAAGTTAAGGGCCATTCAGTCTAGAAGAGTATGCAAACAACCGTTCTAAAAACAACAGTTACATAACCAGACAGAGGAAAAGTGTTTCCAAGCTCGTGTCAGATTGCACTATGGTTGAAAACGTCAACCAAATAAACTATGGAAAATTAACAGAAGGGAGTTTTAAATGTTGAAATATAAAGACATTGCACCCAAAAAAGTTTTTTTTTTTAAAACATGAATTAACTGAAATAACATGTAATCTATATTATTACCAACCTTCCCGACTACAATCGCCTTGAATCAAATCAAAGCTCACAGTGTGCACAAGGGTTTGTTTTTCAAATGTTGTAGAAATGAAGGAGATGTCATGAGAGGTTGATTCCTTAATTATTGTGTGACAATTCTCTTTGTCAATTGAACATGAAAAACAACCAGCTCTGTCTGCCTTGCAATACTTCACCATTGATTAGGTTCTATCTTCCTATCTGGATAGTTACAAGTAACACCTTTGGGAATTTTTTTTTGAAATAACACTTTGTACAGTTGCTGCTTTTTGACAGCAGTGCATTTCCATTTCCCACACAAACCATACCTTTGAACTGGAAATGCCAATATTAAGATATAAACCATAAATGATGGCACTTCCTGTACATTTTATCATGGTGCATGTGTGAGAAAATGAAGATTTTCTGACATCTTTCTGGAACACCTGTTTGATAGGAATAGCTGCCAAAGAGAAATTTGCTCCCCTGATTATGTTTTATCCAGCTGTAGCTCAGAGTTATCTCCCTATGGAAGTGGTATTGACACATTTGACAGATAGATTAATGAAAATCATAGAGCCTCACAAAGTTTCTGTCAAACTAATACTTCATCTATCAAGACAAGTCTGTTCCCCCTCTATGAAGGGAAACCAAAAAAAGCAATTACTTGATCATGCTGCTTCCAGCAACATAAGGAGACATTGATAAAAGGCTCAGACTAAAGGGAGATGGAAGAGCCATGTGGACCAGTCAGTATGACAGATACTCTACCTGGTGGCGTGTTTCCTGCTTCACTGCCAGTTACTACAGAGCAGAAACTTGGCTGACGCTTTCTCCTGGTGTGGTGGGATTGGATCTTGCCAATTTCTTTCCACAGGTCCTGCTGAGGAAGCACTTCTGCAGATGGGACAAAGTTTTTGTCCTGAAAGTCACAAAGTTAGTCTCAAATATTGCTGAGTCATGGCTGAAGTCAAATCCAAACCATAAAACACTAACTTTATGCACTTCGCCAAATGCAATACCATTTTCCACACAAGTTAAGTCATAGTAGACCTATAGAAATATTGAATGATTCTGGCTATGCTAGCTGTGTAGCTCTGTTGGTTGCCATGTTGGTCCGATTGTCCATCCACCATGTTGGCTCCCTGTTAACAATTATTAGGTGGATTGCCAAGAAATTTTTAGCTTTGTGTAAAATGTCTCAAGTTAAATATTAGATCAATTTCTAAGGCATTTACATCCTCTGATTGTCCACCTAACATTAATCATCTGGCACAGTGCCACCACAATCAGAAACAAATAAATATATTAGGGAATTCTTTAATGTTAAAAAAGCTGAGAGATGTATAATATTGAATTTATCTTCACATGTGTATGAGTATGGAATGCTTTAAATGTTAACACTGAATCCATGATTATACACTATTTAAAATCTTGACATTTTAGAATTGTCGCAGTTAGCCATAACATAACACTCAGTAGGTTATCATCTGTAGTTGAATGGTTATGTCTGGTAAGTTCTTATTATTAAAGTGTTTAGTTGTGTACTCTCAGCAAATATTTAGCATGTGTCTCATTTGTACTCAAATTCACACTTTTACAAATCACAACTTTTGCTTATATTTCATAGAAAATTAATATATAGTCCCTGGGTTAAAAGAAGATTGTAAACAGCTGGAGGGAACCTCCTGCAGTCGCCCATTCTTGAAGCAGCTTCTGAAGCATTTTGAGATGAAAATGTGTCAATGTGACTTTGTACTAAAGGCCTGTATTTATAGTTTAACTGAGCCTAATTTTGATACTGAGCCCTATTAATTGAGCTCTCCAGACATCTCCCTGTATCTAAAATAGATAGGAAGTCCAACATGGAGGTGAAAAGGGACAAAGTAGGCCAAGGACTCTCACAGAAAATAGACTGTGGCTCACTAAGGGGCCTGATTATCTTGGGAAAGAACAGGAAATGGGAAAAAATGTGGGTTAACAATAAGCCTTTGCTTAACCCAAGAGCACAAAGAAAAAACTTGTATTGAGAGACTGCTCTTAGAAGAAGACTTCACAAGCTCACAAGTACTCAAAATGCTCCAGTCAGTTCAGGACGATGCATACTTCCTGGTATTGCACAGTGCACCCAGCAGAGAGGCAGTCTGCAGTGCATTACATGTTTAAACACAACATTTTTATTTAGATTATCTTATGCTCAGCTGATCATGAACACAACCATTATTTCTATTTTCAATTATAATTCAACTGTACAAAATTACAGAGAAGATCCACAGCTATCCATGCCATCTAGTTAAGATGTCATGGAATTAAACTTTGATGGTCAAAGAATAATTATGAAACAGTAGATATGCTTAAATGTCTCCACACAGTTCAACAGTGATGTTTTAGGCCTGCCTGCTTATAAAAATACACTTAACTTTCAACAATACTTTCAAAGATACTGGTGTTAATCTCAAAAAAAGATTTGTTTGAATAAATTCCAATATCACTCAATGGGGAAAGTGAATTAAATAACCAAGCCAATGTGGTTGGTAGTTTAATGATGGCTGGTAATTAAATAAGTGAACCAATTACTATTTCAGATTAAACAGGTCTGAGATGCCTTGAACTGTAAATGTAGAGGTTAATTTGTATAGCCTAGAACATATTGCACAAAATGGTGATGAACTGAGTAATAGCAGGAGAATATTTAACTGGTAGACTGACAGCAGCATATCATCACAAATTTGGTCTAAAATTAAATATACCAAAAAATAAAAATAAGAAAATAAATAAAATTCAATTTTCCGTTATTACCGGAAAATATCTTACAAAAACTACCATGACAATTACCAAATACTTCCACCAAAGTTGGGGGTGAAAATGTCAAGGTTGTAAGGTGTAAGTTTGTAAGGTTCAAAGTTTTCATGAAATACCATCAAATTCCAGACATAAATCTCAAGAATTTTCAACAAATATGAAGAATGAAAATTTTCTGGCAGAAACCCCAAAAGAACGTTTTTGAAAGTTTCTGCCAAAAAATGAGTCCTCTATGCAGGCATTCAGGGTTCAAGTCCAACCTGTGGTTCCTTTGTCGCATGTAATTCCCCACTCTCTCCCAATTCCCTACACTATCCACTGTCTTATCAAATAAAGGCAAATGTACAATGCAAATAACCAACAAATATCACCCCAAATCTCTTTCAAACTCTAATGAAAATGTTCTGACATAAATGTCAAACCAAAATGAAGCTCAAAAACAAACGTGACCATGGTGGGTTCATGTTGAATGTGTCACTTTTGAAGTGAGTATTCACAACAATAATGAGTGTGCAGAATGTTCAGACTCAGAGTGAGTGATGTCATCTTCAGAGAGGAAATCTTGGACACCTTCTTGAAAGACTGACTGAGCTCACAGATTTTTACTCCACATTCACTATTCTGGCATCAAATCATAGATATTCTCCTGCTGCTTGTGTTGGATGGGTTATCAGTTTCTTCAGAAATTGATTTTTCTTGGTGGATGAATTACTGACAAACTAAATTCCCTCTTCTGGACAAATAGAAAACAACAAAGGAAGTTAAATCATTCTGGTTCATTTAATTTTTTTTGCATTCTGTTTATACATGATTGACAGTCTTATAACTTCTTCATATAAGCAACTTGAAAGAGACATCGTTATAGCTGACAGAATTTGAACACTACACTTTTTGTTTCTGTTTTACTTGAATCACCACAAACACAGAGCAGAGTGTCAAAATGTGTGTTGGAATAAAAACCTGCTCATTAGGAGGAAACTTTCATATGATAGAATGAAGCAGTTACGATAAAGGAGCAAGAAATAGAACATTTGGCTGAATTTTCATGATCAGAACAATTCACTCATTTATCATTTGGCCACTTCCTAAATAATACAACATCCAGATCAGTCGTCACTCGATTGACTCAGATAACCCTGAATAATCAGCTAACAGCCTTTAATAAAGTCCAGCTGTGTAAATGTCCCTGCTCTGAATCTCTTAAGTTCTGTAGTTTTCATCTAACTACTATAAGTAGTTTGTATTCAAGCTGTTGCGTCATTTATCTGAAAAGGTCTTTATAGTTTTATTTGCAGACTGGTTCAAATGACAAACTGAACTAATTTTCAGTCAGTGTTGTCTTTAAGTCTCCCTCGGAAAGGTTTCAGATATGTAGTTGATATATTGTTGAGCCATGTGGTTGGCTTAATTCTTTTCACTGTGTCATTGTTTCTTCATGAGGTTAATTAGTCACATGCTGTATATCACAGGCGTAGGGAGACATCTGCTGGACAGTTTGGAGTAGTAGTAGTCGTTTTAATTCTGTTTGTCTAAATGCTCAGCAGAATTTAAAGTCATCTGTTAATCATTGGATGATTAGTGCGCCTTCAGAAAACCCACACAAGAACAACAACATCTGATCGAGCTTTGCGTTACAAGTTGGGTACCAGCTCCAATGGCCCTATCTGCATCTACACTCAGCGGCCATCTTTAAAGATCATTTACTGCTGCAGTTTTTGTAACAGACGACTTTCCAGCAATGTGGAGACATTTCTAAACCAGCTTTAATAATAACATTCACAAAAAAGGACAGTCTCTCAAATTTACATACACATGATTTGAGGATTTACATGAACACATGTGCAACAATGCTAGTAGGTAGAAATGCTGAATCACTTTTAAACCCACATATTTCAGTGCATTTGGTTAGTTCATAGCCACAGAAAAAACAGCAACAAACCAAAGTAAAATCAAGTTTCAAGAAAAGAAAAAGGCCTGTTGATCTAAACAACACTCTCAGTTTGTCTTTTATTACAAATACATCAGTGACTTTTTAGAAAGGCATGCAGCTATGTTTAATTCAATTAATGATTTCTTGTACCTGGCTCATCCCTGCAGAGTAATATTGCAAACAAGACACTATGACACATTTGGCCATAAAAGTCATACTTATTACCAGTACTCATTGATCTGGTGAATTCTTGCATATGGTTGGTTCATGTTTTTGTCATTGAAATCCGACTTATTAGGCAGTTTTCATATAAAAAGAATATTGAAATAGTACTATGTGTTTACTACGAGGCGATTGTGTGTGTATTTGAGTAGGCTCATGTTCATTATGCATAGCTTTTTGAGTTCACTTTCTTAATGTGAAGCAAATTTCAGTCTACCCAAAACTTTTCATTGCTGTGTATTAAGAGGAATGAATTTAAGGCGAACATTACCGCTAACATCAATCTGCCTGCAGGTTTGAGAAATCTGGGTCAGTTAAAATGCAGTGAACAGCAGAAACATGCAGCTGCTGTTTAGCTGTAAAAATCCCAAAGCAGCACTATCCCTGACCCACAAGTATTTAAGGAAACAGTTTGAAGCCTTCAAAACTAAAATGAAAAACAGATAAAAGAAGTCAGGCGAAAGCGTCCTTTGATAAGAGGATGTGATGATGAGAGAGGACAAAATATTCAAAAATGGTATTAGCGTGAATCTGAAGTGTAGGCATAGTTCTCCCTCTGGTTCATTGCCGTGCCTTTGGTGTCAGACCTCGGGTGATGAGTTTGTTGATGTGTTGTGTAGTGCTTGCTCTGAGAGCAGACCCTGTACTGATGGTTTAACTGTATTGACCTGCAAGTTTTTACTCAGCTAACAGGGCAGCCAGCAGTTCAGGGTAGTTTGGTGTGCCCCAACCTGTGACAGGGTCCCACGATGGTGAAGCGCAGAAACCGTTGCCCTGAACCTTTTCGTCTAGACAGCTCAGGTGGCAGCCTTCAGTCACCTGGAGAGAAGGAGACAAGCTGTAGCAGTTAGGACATGAGCATTGTTTTAGACCAATGTGTTGTAAAAGGGTTTCCTTCTGTCTTTAAACACGAGGCCTAAACTACAATTCACTTAGCTAAAACTACATTTTAAAACAAACAGCTTAAAACTGAAGGAGCATGGACACCAAAAGAGAAGTTCACACAACATGGACTAAACTGCAGATGCCTTGAGAAGCAATAAATATTCCCAAGTTTGAGTTTTTTGTCAAATGTTATAAAAGTATTTTTGACACTAGCATTGAGGTGATGAATCAATTATGTTATGACAATGCAGAGCTTTCCACAAACATGAAGTAGTCATCTAATTAGAAATCCAGGGAGGTCTGGGCGGACTTACAGTTACACCTAGAGAGAAATCACAGAATTCTTCCCAAAAAAGCTGATAGGAGATCAAATTACAACATTAACTGGAGTTTCTACAATAACATGGCTTACATCAAATAGAGCCTGTCCTCTGAGTTTGTAGAGGCGAGGGTTGAGGAAGCCCAGAGCAGGCAGACCCTTTAGCAGCCGCTGATCATTGATGAGCGACAGCATCCCTCCAACCACAGGGGTGGACGCCTGGAGGGGAGATCAGTCCATGAGAGATATAATGAGGCTTAAGAAAACTGAGCAAGTCATACAAAAAAAAAAAAAAAAAAAAAAGGAGTGTAACTGTATGTGCACACACAGTAATGGTCTGTTGACAGTGAAAATGTGATGGAGAGAAGTTGAGTGCCTTTGATTCTCCTTAAGATCACCTTTTTTTGGGAGAGATTAATTTACCCCAAAAAAGTAATCGACCTAGGACATAAATAATAAATAATGTAATCCTGCTCTCTGGATTTTGGAGTCTTAAGGGAACGCTATGAAATGCTTTACCAAAAAAAAGTATCCTCAAGTCTTCAATTTGAACATATGTAGTTTATAAAGAAAATATTGATTTAAAAATACAGCTTGCAGGAATTAAACTTAATCTGAACTGAGCATTTAAAAAAAAAAAAAAAAAAAAAAGGTAAACTCACCAGTCATTTCAATTAAAGCTGAATCAGATGCTTACATCGCAACATAGATGATTTATCTATGAGAACCCTTTTTGCTACTAGATATTTTAAATAAAGACCTATGTGCACCAGCACATGTATGCGTGGATAATAAAATTGTTGAAAACAAATTGGTGTAATGTTTAACTGTAACGAATATGCCTGGATTTCACTACCACAGCACTCCTGGGTGGAGTTTCCAGGGCACCATAGGGGCTGTGCCAGACCACAGATGGTGCAAACTATGAGCCTAAATCAATCTCAATTAGGCAAGACCAGCAGGTGAATCTGTGTCCGTTGGGAAAGAAAGAGTAGTTGGGGACTCCAGAGCAATAAAACATTGAAAAGTGCGCAGAGAAGATAACGTCACCATTACAAATCGGAGGTTATTTATATACTTTGAATCTAAGTGTCTTTTTTTTTTGTCCGCTTGATGTCACTAATTGTATTTTTCAATTCCATTTTAATTGTATTTAATATTTTCATGTAAAATATTCTGTGATTGTTAGGCATTTTTTTTAGTGATTTATAAAAATTATTATTATTATGTTTCTTTTTCTACTTGATCCCTGTGATGTCATCTGAAGCACTTTGAATTGCCTTGTTGCTGAAATGTATAATATAAATACATTTTACTTGACTATGTATAATTAGTTCATTTTTTTTAATCTGACCGTTTAATTTTAAAAAATGATAATGAATATTATGAGAAATATTTTACCGAGGTCCCGGACACCCATGGGATTGGTACTCTGTTGGAGACCACCCAGTAGTTATCAGACAGGGCGGCCAAGTCTGGGTAGGCCCTGCCGCTGGCGTTATAGTACGACTGAGGAGGGAGTGTTGCTGCTACAGTCTTCAGATATGCCTCCACTGCACTGGCCTGTGGGAACACAAGCACACAGCATGTATCAAAGTGTATTCATCAAGCAGTAAAGGTGATGATGGTCTGATTATGTTACCTGGTAGTCAGGCATCTTGAAGACGTTGCTGAAGCCTCCTCCACTGATGTAGTCGGTCACTTCATATGTGACTTTAAATGGGTTCTTAAATGAGGTTCCTCCTACTGTGGTCACATAAGGGCTGGGAACATAAAAATAACAGGACATCAAATATTACTTGGGTTAGAAGGATTGATAAACTTCAGTCACAGCATAAAGAAAGCTTGGTCGCTATACAGTTGTATGATTTACCTTGAAGCAGGAAAACTTGGCCTGAAGGAGTTTTGTCCCCCTCCCAAATGTTTGCAGCCTGCACCACTGTCACCTGAAAATGGAACAGGGTCACAGAAAACATAGCTGCACATTAAACAACAGACTAAAGATGATACACAAGGTGATGATCATGCTTCAAAAACTTAAGTGACCACTGATGGAAGTGAATGAAATCGCAACGGGCCAAAAAGTCATTCTTTTTGAATCTGCAGGGCGCTAAATAGCCTAGTAGTTGTCCAATGTACGGAGGCTATAGTCCTCGTTGCAGCGGCTGTGGGTTCTAATCCGATCTCAGGCCTTTGCTGCATTTCATCCCTCAATCTGTCCGCCCAACATTTCCTGTCCCTCTTCAGCTGTCCTATCCAATAAAGGCAACAGTTTTCTGGATCGGAGTGTTTAACTAAGGGAACACATTTCAAGTGAGATCGTGTTCTGACAAAAAGAAAGGAGCAAGCTGAAGAAGGAGACAAAGGCTGTTTCATTATTTCTACCCCATCAGCTCCAAGATTGCAGCTCACAGTTCTGCTTTTGTTGAAGAACTGATTTTTGTTGCAAATTCTACTGGAAAGAGGAACCAGGAACTTTTAGCATACTGGCCGGATTAGACTGGATTATAAAGTGAAACAGGAACTAGGAGAGGTAACTGCATGTGACTGAATGTCACACAAAAATGTGACTGACTTTTACCTTGCATTGATGAGCAGATTTTCAAAAGAAAGTAGCCTAACTACGCAGACAAAAATACTCCATGTTATCTTATTGTCATATTTAGTTTGCACATCATACATCAGGTGTTTGTGGATGACTTCAATTCAACACAACATGGATGGTGTCTTTGTTCTTACTGACCAGAAGCAAAGAGCAGAGAGATTCCTCGGACGCCTGCCTTCATAAACTCTGCATTGATACGCATCATGTAAGCAGCGGACAGGCTGTCTTCATCGTCTCCATAACTGATGGTGTGAACCCATGGCAGATCAGACATGTTGCTGAGCAGCACCATCCACTGGAGGAAAGGCTCTTGGGACTCATGGCGACCTGAAGGAGACAAGGGAATGTGACTGAGTGTTTCCAATATGGCTTAAATGTCTTAACAGTGGAAACGTTTTTTTGTTACGACCCATTGCATTAACATCTAAGCTGCAAACCATCTGATCCGAATTTTTAACTATAAACAAATTGCTTCAACGAGATTATGATTGGAGTCTCTAATCATAAACATGTTCAGAGAAATCTGAACTTTTCACTATTCTTTTAATCGAAAAACCAAACAATGCAGGCTCACTCTTCACACAGACCTGGATTAGTGAAGAACCAAGTGGAGATGTTTGCCCCTGTGCTCATGATGTACTCGATATCCAGACTGGCCTCCAGACCAGCCTTCCCTGCTCCCTGAGTGCCAATAACCCGGTCCACCTGAGACTGATGCTGGAAGCTTTGGCCATACATGCGCATGAACTCAGACAGGTCTGCAGGGCTGTAGTACTGCTCCAAGAACTACAACAGAAAACAGCTAGCTAGAGTGACAAAGTAATGGTGAAAACACTGATATGTCAGTCAGCTGATTGGTTGATATCCTTACACAGATATATAGGTACTGTAGTATAGGCTTTTTGGATATGACTTTAAAGAAACATTTTTATGTCTGCACAAAACAAGATTTAGGGTGATGTAAAAATTGTGTCATTGTGAAACACCTTTAGATGACAGTCCATGCTAGAATTATTTGACAACATGTACCAAATTTGACATTAGTGCTGCCTTGTATAATGAGGGTAAACGGCCAAACAATAATCTTGAACACATTTTTTTTTTTTATGCATGCTCCTCCCACATCCATAACCGGTGAACGTTTAGCCTCTATAATCAGTCAGGCTCCAGAAATTAGTGTTTGTGCTAATGTAAGCAAGCCTTGGCAGCAACACTTCAGTATTTCATGATTAACTGATGCTGGCATGGTCACACCTGAGCCACAGCCTGGCTGTTGTTCTGTGCTGTCCCCACATCAGCCGCTGTCATGTTGTAGCGAGTCCTTAAGACAGTCGGAGTCACTCCCAGGTGCAGTCGTTCCTTAGACCTTTTGTGCGCGCTTCCTCTGATGAGGTCCTGCCCTTTAGGAGGGAGGCGATGAAGCCCTCCAACTGTGAAAGCAAATGCATAAGTACATTACCATCCAGCCAACTAAGAGCAGATGTTATTTAATACATGCAGAAATTACAATTGAAGAAGCAATAGCAATGGTTCTCACCGAAGTCCAGGTGCTGATGAACATCGTCATTAACAGAGTATGGGGCTGAAGACCTCACTAAAGTTTGGCCATCTCTGGTGTAACGGTGGAACTTGCTACCTGCAAGCAGTGTCTCTGCAACCCTTAATACACAAGTAGACAAATACAACCACAACCTGAATGTCTATAATTCCACTGGCATACAATTTGGTACAATAATTTAAAGAAAAAATGTATTGTATGCAAATCTGATCCAACTCCAAGTAATTTACTGCATGAGTAACTACTATCAGTACGTAATACTGGTAACAGGGTAATGACAGGGTGAGTTGTTTTTTCTCTTCCAGATCCAAAAAGCTTGACCTACATTCTTGAATTTCAAAACCCAGAAACTGGAAGTCAATTTGATTTTAACAAATAACCACAGAAAGAGGAACAGTCTTCTGAGATTAGAGTGTGGTCTTCGTGTGATTTAAACAGTGAAGTGAAGACAAAAAAGTACCTTTTTTGACATAACTGTGTCAAGTGCAAGCAAGAGTAGCTGTTGAGTAAGCCGAACAGAAGTTGCTTAATAAAGATATGCTTACTCTGCAGTCACGGTGCACTGTAGAAAGTCCTGAGTGTGAACAGTAAGGCAGTTTGTAATCCCATGACTCTGCAGCCAACGGCGCACCACCTTTTGGGTCAGGTCAGATGGACGCACAAGGGAGGAGACTTCCTCCAGGGTGAGGTGTTTACCTGTGGAGGACAGTAAAGGCATTGTCACCCAGTTTTAAGGATTTTTTTAGGTAAATTCACATTAGTGTGATAGGCTACAAAGCACAAGAAACAGAACAACCACACTGAGCATCCCTCTGTAACAAGCATTTAGATATTTTTTTTTAAATCCAAAATGATCATTGTTAATTGATGACAACCAGAAAAGGCCATACCATAGTGTGCTGAGTCAGGGTCTGAAACCAGTTTGAGTGTTTTCTCCAGCAGGTCAACGTTTTGCTGCTTCAGGGCAAAGGTGAGCTCCAGCTCCTCCGTGGGGTCGACCCGGCCAACCTGAGTCCAGTCCTCTGGTATCCTGAGGATTTATTAACTCTTATTGAATGACTCGATACTTCAGCAAACACTTCAAATGCATCGATTGGTTTCTTGTGATTATTCAGTTAACTGAAACGTTATTTCAAAAAACCACATTATAGTAGTTTAATTACATTGGAACAACCGTTTGTGAGTTATTTGCTAGAATTTATGTCCTGGCCTTCAACAGAAACAGCCACAGATGAACAGCACACATCCAAAGTCCTCCTAGAAACCAAACTTACCTGTCCAGCATGATAACATTCATCTAAATAACATGATTTTTTGGACTAACTTGAGAGCTAAAAGAAGCTCCAAAACAGCTTACACACAAGGCACCTTGGACGAAAGACATTGTATGAGATTTCACCTTTTATAAGCCAAAAACACATGACTTTCAAATAACTTAAAACAGAATTAAAGCAGAGAGGTGCTAACATGATTTAATCATATCTAAGGAAAGGACTTTTTCAAGTGAAAGTGAAAATGCTCACAGGACATCTTGGTCATATTCCAGATATCCACTCCACACCAATGAGCAGAATAACAAGGAGAAGGAGAAGGTCAGCCTGGATGATGACGGAAAAAAGAAGGAAGAATATTAATATACATGTTTTTTTTTTTTGTTTTTTTTTACAAACGCAGAGGTTCAAATTAACCTGAACGTAACCAGGAAATGCTGAAAACACGTCTTTACTGACCAAGTTATTTCACGGTTACAAAACTAAGTCTCAATGTGACTCAGCTTAGTATAAGGACAAATCAAATGCATTGCCTAAGACGCAGGTAGATACAAAAGCAGTCTGTTGACCCGACTTTTATGACAACAACAGCTGTTATTTACAGTGGTCTTAACTTCATGGCAGCACTTTAACCTGTTATGTTAGCAGCCATGTAGGTCATAACAACCATTAAGAAACAAAGAACATACAGGTGCGAGTCACTAAAAGTCACAATGAACTGGTCTGCAGTTACCGCTACCATTCTGTCCGCTTTAATATCAAAACATAAACAACTATGAAGTAAAACTCACAGTGTCCTCATTGTGTCCTCGGCTCGTACAGTGAACTGAACTCGGTTTGTTTGAGACTGGCTTATATAGAGAGCAACGCAGCCCAGGTCACGTGACAAGGTCTCACGTGACTTTGCCTTTCCTTTTTTTTATGCTGGAGTCAAATACTAAGCATCTGACATGTTTCTAATATAAGAATGAATGTAAACAACACTCATCTTCTATCAAAGTGATGTCATATGAAGCCATGTCTTTGTTCCTGAAATGTTAGTTATGAATACTATAGGCCAGGGATGGGCAACTTTGGTCACAGCAAGGGCCACATTCATTTAATTCTCACTGCCAGAGGTCCAGATTGTAGTATGCAAAAACAATTACGGTCAATTATGTCTCAAATTTATCTTAACATATACCAGTTGTCAAATATTATGATGTACATATTTCTGATTTTCATGATTTCATGGCAGATTTTTGTCATGTTTTCTAAATGTTTCCAATTAACTGATGTGTAAAAATTGACCTGAGGGCCACGTTTAGGGTTGATGGGGGCCGCCAGTTGCCCACCCCTGCTATAGGCGTTTTCCCTTGCAGCGTGAGTCACACGGTAAAAACAAAACAAAATAAATATGCCCCCCAGTGTTTAATGTCTTCTTTTTTTTAATGTATTTTTGATTTAATGTGTTTAATTTTAACATGTATATATGCGGTATTTGAAGTATATTTACATGCATACTTTTCAGTTTCGTATGCAAAATGTTGTATTCCCTATAGGAATTTTGTTCAATTAAGGAAAAAAAAAAGTTTCTAATATTGCAAGCAGCGTTTTACATTCTTACTGAGCTGTCGGGACAGGAAAGTGACTTGAATTTAAATCCAAGGAATCCGTTTTTATCATTCATTTCGTATTGACTTCACCTGTTTCTTTAATGGAATTGTGTTTTTGTCATAATGACTCATAGATGGTCCCAGTATCGAGGGATCCAACCTGTCCAACCAACTCTTTAGTTTCTCTGACTAAAAATAAATTTAACTGTAATATCATTTTTTCACTTTCAACAATTAAATGCTTAACATAAGCAAAAAATTGCATATGAATTTATACACAACTAAACCATGAGAAATGATTTTGTAATGTTTATTTAAAGGATAGTTAATGACCCCAGGGACCAGAAATTTGAACAAAACTATATTTACAGGAATATGCTGGGAGGAGCAGAAAATGGCCTTTTGCAACATACTAATTTCAACATAAAACAATTTCCAACTTTGTTAAAAAACACAAAAATATGTTGAATCTATTTACACAGCACTGCATGTTATTAAAATGCAGCTCTTCAACAACAATCTCCCTTCTGTTCCCGTGATTATTATTAACAAGATTGATCTGAGATTTATTTTTAACACAAGTTTCTTAAATCAGCTGTCTGAGAAGTAAAAATCCTCTTCCTCTCCGCTGTCGCTTTGAGCTGCATCGCTTCCCGGGAACATCTCCCGAACAAAAAAGGTGTCATTTTCTGCCAAATAAGGGAAGAAGAAAAGTCACATTAGAAAAGCTGAAATTACTGCTTTCAGTCAAAGCTTTCCAAACATTTTTGACCAACTTTTGGAAATCTAACAGTCTTAGTAATGAACATTAAGTTATAAAGTGAAAGCATTCCAAACTTCAAATTGATATGTGCAGCAGTGCTAATCAAGGTGTTTCCTTTTGTTTTACTTCTGGATTCAATGTCATACCTGTGTTACCACATCTTCTCATTGTTCGTTTAGCTGATGGTGTGAACTTCTGAAAAAAAAAAAGAAAAAAAGAGAGGAATTGTTAAAACAATAAAGAATAATCTATGCGCTGATAAAAATTGAACCCTTGGAAATAATTACCTTTGAGAACGGAGATTGTTTGCAAAGATTATACTGATATTTTTTCATCCTCTTTTGGAGTAGGTATGTGTACTTGTCATCATTGCCCCTGAGAAATCAAGAAACAAGTTAGTTATTATACTGTAAAAAACTGTTAAAAGCAAGAAGTCAGAAGATAACTCACGTGTTGGGAGAGCCGATCATGTCGGGCCTGACATCCAGACACTGAGGAGTCTTTGCCTCGGGGAAACCTGTTGACCCCGGGGTCCGGGGCTCTTGTTCTGACAGAGAACAGTAATTTTCCTCACTCGGGCACATGGAGGGCATCTATCCACGAAGACAAGTGGAACAGCAATGACTCGCATTACAAAATTATTAGACAGAGATTACACATGATACATTACATTTTTACATAAAACAGAAAGAAACAAACCTCAAACTGTTTCTGATGCATAAATTCAGAGCTGAAAACATCATCAACATCTTCTTTGGGCATGGCCTTCAGGAACTGACGCACCTGCTGCTTTCTCTTCAGGGTTCCCACACGAGCTGATATCACAGGATGATCTGTAACAAGTCAGTACAGTCAAGTCAAACATGGCGTCGTTCCAGAGTTCAAGCTGAGAGCACCAAATATCTCTGTATGAAGTTAATATATATATATTTTTTTAAAGATTTATTTTTGGGGTTTTATGCCTTTAATGGAGAGATAGGACAGTGGATAGAGTCGGAAACCAGGGAGAGAGAGTGGGGAGTGACACGCGGGAAAGGAGCCACAGGAGGCCCAGGATGTGAACCTGGGCCGCCCGCTGGAGACTACAGCCTCCATACATGGGACTAACCACAGCTGCAGTAGCCACTGCGCCACCACTGCCATTCAATTGGCAGCTGTTAGCATATCAGAACATCACAGTTTACGTTATTAAGCTGAATGGAATCAAATGTCTGATAGCTACAATGTAGTAATAAAGCTACAGGTCTACTACAGAAGATGAGTAACCATCAAACTAACTTTTTTTTAAGCCTAAGCAATCATCTTCATCCCAAACTACTACCTGTCCTTACCTTGATCTTTCGGTGCTTCCATCTTTTGCTTTCTAGATTTGCTGGGTTTCTTGGCGGGAGTCTCTGAGGTGACGCTGCACATGAGCTTCCTGTGACACTCCTCTACAGAACGTGTTCCAACTGTCTTCGCCACCATAGCCCAGTAACCCGTCATGCTTTTAGGATAGTAGGACGCAGCCCTGGAAAACAAAAACACATAAACAATAGTCGTTTTGCAAAATGCTAATTCGTCATTATATCGGTAGAAAGACAGAACTCACTCTTGTAGCTTCATCAGCTCCGCCTCTGTCCACTCGGCTTCATCTTCATCTTGTTGAGACTTTGTGCTGTTTTTCGTTTTCTTTTCTTTCTTGCTGGTCGTTTTAGGCAGCGGTTTTGGAGATATCTTGGTGTTTTTCCTCTGTTTTGGTATTATTTGTGATTGTGCAACACGGTTAGTTTTTGTCCCGTTACTTTTCCTCTCGATCTGGTCAGAGGACTCCGATGACGAACCCAACGGGGACCTGTGGCACTGCCTTGACTTGTTAAGAACCTTCTTCCTCCATTGCTTCTTGGGTGCTTCTTTATCCTTTTTTGTTCTCCTTAAGAAAACATCGTCTTCTGAAGACTGAGTGTGCTCAAGAACAGGGGGAGAATGTGGAGATGATGAAACGGCCTGTTTACGCCTCAAGACTCTCACTGAAGGTTCTGGGGCTTCAAGTGTCTGTTTCATTGAATTCTTTGTTGAAGACTTTTCAGGTTTCATTTGTTTTTGCAGGACAGTGTCCACACACAACCGTGTCTCACCGGGAGGCTCTGGTGAAGAACAGGGCTGCTCTTCGGGGTAAACCTTGGCTTTGATGCATTTACGAGGTTGACTCTTAACCTTCCTCAGCAGGGCTGGTGCCTCTTGTTTGCCTGGAAACACAGAGAACAGTGTGTCTACATTCAACTAATTACTTAGCTCTCAAGACTTAAACTACAGCTCCTAAATAATCCTCACCTTCAGCACACGGAAGAAACACAGAGGCAGGTTTCTTAGACGCCCTCGCGGACACTCTTGTACTGACCTTCTGCGAGATATAAAATGAAATCAGTCAGCTGTTCATCAAAGAAAGCGGGCCTTTGTGTTGGTAGACCATCTTTAAGTGCTTACAGGGAGGCAGATGGAGGTCTCATAGCATTCATGGATGGTAACATTCATATGTGCATCCAGAATGACTCTCCCTCCTTTCCAATACTCTAGAGGGGTCTTGATCACGCGACCACTTCGAGACACTTGCCTAGAGGATGAGGTCGCAGGAGGACAGGAAGCAGCTGAAGAGACGAGAGAATAAATGTTTACTGTGACAAAAAAAAAAAAAAAAAGATCTTTGGTACAGCTATCCATCCGTCCATTATCTTCCACTTATCCACGGCCAAATCTCAGTGGCAGCACGCTAAGCAAATTGACCTCCGCCCAGGGACGTTTTCCAGCACCTTGTGGGGGATTCTGGGACATTCCAAGGCAAGATGGGATATAATCTCTCCGCCCCTTGGTCTACCCAGTTGGACGTTTTTCTTCTTCATTAAATGTTCTTGTATTGGTATTTAGTATGAGTGCTGTAAGTTTAAGTGTGTGTCTTCTACTCACGCGTCTTTGGAGGTTTTGGTCTGTGCTGCTTCGCAGACACTTTGACGGACGAAGAGCCAGATTTTGTCTTTGACTCGATGCCTCGTCCTTCACTGTTTCTCGTCGTCCCTCGGCTGCAACATTTTAAAATTCACATCTTGAATAAATGCAGTTTCAAACACTGACTGTAAATAACGTTTTCAAAAAGGGTGGTTCAGGAGTGAAATAAATATTCTTACTCTTTCTCTGACAGAAACTTCTCGTAAAGTGTTTTCCAGTTTGCAGGAAAGCCATTTAAAAAGTTCTTCAAGAACCAATTGGGAAACCCTGTCGACAGAAAAGAATAGATGCAATAAAAATACTATTGATTAATATTCCTTTTATTTATCTTTTGAAGGGTATTTGTAGAAATTGACATGCAACAAGTCTGCCTTATTTTAGATTTCTTCAAAAGAGAAATTTTTCTTTAACAGAAAAATATATTACCAGAGTCAGTGTCAAAGTTCATCTTGCCAACCAAAATGTAAACCCTGCCAGAGAAGGTCTTCAAAACAGACTTATTAACCCTTTCCACGACGTTGGTACTGATCCACGGTATGTTGTCCTTCCTGGGTGGAGAAAGAAATCAAGTGTTCAGAATAAACCACACTATATCCTTTGTCTTGAATTTAGCACATGAACATTTCATCTCCATTGGACAATAGCTGATAAAGCAATCTGATCGTCAGTAATAATATAATAATAATAAAAATACAAATAACTCTCTTCCTCTCAAACATTTTTAAATTATGATGTGTTCAGAAAACTCACTGGTGGATCCCCTCAACAAACAGTCCCTTGTGATTCCTCCCGAGATACCACTTTTTGAGATGAATCACACTCTCCTGCCAAAGAGACGATCAACAGAGATATTCAAATGAAGAAGAAGACAAGCTAAAGATGATTTACACGTCTACTTCCATAACTCTTAATATCATCCACATGTTTAATACCCAGAGGTATTTATTATAAGATTTAACGTCCACTCACACTCAATTCCACAGTTTCAGGCCATTTGTTTCGCTTGAACACAGCTGAGTGTTTCTTTGGTATGGAGATCCTTGGTGAATTGAATACTAGAGGGTCCATAAGCAAACACGGCTGTGACGGCTCAGCAGGGCTTTGGACATGTTCAGAGGGATCTGTGTCTGATTGGCTGTCAGCTGGCTCCTCTCTGGACTGGTGGACAGGACCCACAATTTCTGAAACAAAGGCAGGAATCTCGTCCATATTGTGAGCCGCGGGGGGACGTGTGTCTCTGGACCGATGGGAATTACCTTTGGAAAAGAAGTGCTATCAGTAACAAAAAAAACACATGATGTGCAGCATGCAAACATGAAATATAAAATTGCCATTGCCTAATATTCCCCCATTTATATTAAATTGTACCACTTAATGATAAACTTACCCGCATTAAAGAGATCCGTTGTGCCGCTGCTGACTTTGTTAACTTCTTGCTCAGCTTTATTTTCCCTCTCCTTCAAGTAAGCAAACATCTTGGCTGGAAACATTGGGGTGATATTTTGTAAACGCACATGGCAACCTGTTTACAACAGCAGAGGGGCATCAGAAGATGGATTACTAACCTAAATAACACCGTGGGTAAATACGGTCACTGCACACATTCAGCAATAATATCTCACGTTTCACTGCTGTAGATATCGGTGGAAACATGGCTTCACTAGTGGACCAGTTCATCCCTGGTGTGTCAGCAGAGAATCTTCTAGCATCACTGAAATCCTCCATGCAGGCGTTGCTGTCGTCCTCACTCAAAGGACTGAAGGTTTTCCTCTGCTGATGATGAGGCTGACTAAAAACTTCATCGCTAACCTTGTTGAAGTCCTGGTGTTCCAATGTTCTCTTCCTCAGCCTTTTCCTCAAGGGGGAAAACATAGAGCCCTGAGACTGAAGAGGAGCGCACTCCTCCACAAACACACCCCTCACACGGTCCTTCTCCTCTGGGTGCATCTTAACTGGAGTCCTGCTGCCGGTCACCATGAAACCACCTGCGTGTCTCGTCGGAGGCTTTTCCAGGTGACTCTGCGTTGTTCGGCTGCACAAAGAGAAGGGATGAGACACGGCTGTGGACTCCAGGAAGGGTCTCTTTCTTGGTGTGTATCCGAGCCAGGTGGGCATTTCCTCCACGGGGTTGCTGCGGATGTCTAAAAAAGAATCGCCACAGGCTTTCTGAGGACTCGGTATGGGAGAGAGGGTCAAAACCTGCGCTTCATCCCGATAGGAACAGACCCTCTGATTCTCCTTGAGCTCATTTGTCAACCAGGTGCTCTCTGTTCTCTTCCTGGGCGACAGAAACTGTTTCTCTCCGTACAATGACTCGGTGGCTGTTTCGCTGAGAATCCCGTCCTTCGCGCAGATCTCTTCTCTTTGCACTTTGGATTTCAGCTTGGCAAATACCTTAGCAGGAGATTCAAACCGCGGCTTTGCATGTTGTAAAACATGATGGTTATACGCCATGGTTTGTTGTGGAAAAATCAGGTTATTACAGTCGTATGCTAGCAGAGAGCTCGCTACTAGCTAGCCCTCTGATTTCAAATGTCGGCTCTGTGCCGCCTTTGGCTAGAAACATGTGACGTATATTTAAAACAAAAACGTCACTTCCGGAATCTTCCGCCTTTAATTTCACAGTTTTACCTCCCTTTCCGAATCGTCACAGTTCAGTAGGCAGTGTGTACTTCTCAGTATCTACCTTTCGTGGTCATTCAGTATGCATTTTTTTTTGGGGGGGGGGTCCTCCTCAGTATACTGAACATTTCAGTTACGGATACTAACTTCCGGGTTTCATGCAGTATGGATGATTGGATGCGTGTTTTTACCACCCACAATGCTGTGCGAAGTTAAACGTAAATCATGACGTCACGTGTGCCGCCAAATCAAAACAAACGAGCGCGGATTAATTGAATCAATTTTTAATCTAGAGTTAAAGTCCCGACTGAAATCGCTACTTTTAATTAACAACAGAAAATAAAACAAATGTCTGCATTATTCTAAAACCTTCCCCCCTCTATTTAAATCATGATTTAACTATTTAAATGCGTCTTTATTGGTTTACTTTATACTCTGTATATTACTGTCTTTCATTTGTACTGTCCTGTATGTACTGTATGTTATTTAGTTATTTAATCTGTCTTTTACTTGATTTACATTGTGATATTGTTTTTTTGTTTACCTGACTGTATATGCGCATTACTCTTCTTGAATAAAGATAAACAAAAAAAAAAAACGGGTGGATGCGGCCGGTTCGGGAAACGTAAATGACGTCACTTCCATACTGAATGAATCAGAAGAAGTAGGAACAAATATCTGCCTACTGTGTGTGCATGCAGTCTATGGTGCATACTGAATAGTATGTACTAACAGTATACAACACAGATAGTAGATACTGCCTACTGAAAGATTGAGTAGGTACTTGGCAATTCGGGTACAGTTACACAGTCTATGGTTAGAGCGGGTTTTTTGTTTTGTTTATCTTTATTCAAGAAGAGTAATGTGCATATACAGTCAGATAAACAATATCAAAATGTAAATCAAGTAAAAGACAGATTAAATAACTAAATAACATACAGTAGCCTTCATAAAGGAAAGTACAAAAAGACAGTAATATACAGAATATAAAGTAAAATAAACCAATAAAGACGCATTTAAATAGTTAAATCATTATTTAAATAGAGGTGGGAAAGGTTTTAGAATAATGCAGACATTTGTTTTATTTTCTGTTGTTAACTAAAAGTAGTGATTTCAGTCGGGACTTTAACTCTAGATTAAAAATGGATTATATTAATCCATGCTCGTTTGTTTTGATTTGGAGGCGGACGTGAAGTGACGATTTACGTTTAATTTCGCACAGCATTGTGGGTGGTAAAAATACAATTAATTTCCTGAAAGCATGTAACCACAAGACAGTTCGTGAGTTAGCAGGTTTCTTTTCAATTAATGAATGAAAATCATACTATCCAGGAAATACAATTCAACACTAAATGATTTAGAATATGGACAATTCACTGATTATGATACAATGTTAAACAAAGACAGTAGAAATGATCACAATGTGCAATTTTAATGCATCAAAAGAGCTAGATTCTGAATGCAGGGCTTTCACAAATCAATACAATATTATTTGAAACTGGCAAATTGCTGCTAATCTTCCCACTGTTGTTTACGCAATATATATATATATATATATATATTACTTTCTACACGACTGCAAATATTGAACAAAACAAATATGAACGCTAGTAATTCTGACCCCTGACTGTAAACATAACATCTGACGTGCAAAAAAAAAAAACCCTGTAAATGTTATTTTACTCATGAGTAAATATCATATTCACTGTAGTAAGTGGAGAAGCAGCAAACCCTCCTTTGACTGGTTTAAAAAATGATTTCAATATTTGTTTCTTATCTCTGAAAAAAATGAAATCTAGCAGGATTGCTAGAAAGATTAGTGCTGACTTCTTGTTTTGATTTCTGGCCCTTGTTGAATTTTTTTTTTGTCCTTGCTCCAGTTTGTTGTCTGCTTACATTTGCCTAATGTTTTCTTTTGGAAAAGTTAGATTTTTATTTATTTATTTTTATATATAATCCCCCCTAGTCTTGATTTATGTTTGAATTAACTTGTTCCTGTGTATTTTGCGGTTGTATGTTCATCCTCTTTAAGAGTTTGTACAAAATCTTTTGTACATGTTAAATTTGTCAATAAAGACGGTGAAAAAAAAAACCCTTAGAAGAAGAAGTAGCTTACAGCGCATGCTTGCCTGAAAGTCACGTTTCCGGGTTAAGGTTGTCGCTTTCCTAGGTACATGTTTGTCACCTGATAGGGACCTATATCATAAAACATCATAGTATATATTCCTTACGGATTATCTATTACTTTAAAGGAAAGCGGGGGTTGTGACAACAGCTGATGTCACCGGGAAACAAACAGCTGTTCAGCTGTTTCCAAAGTCTGACCGGTTTGACTGAAGTGATGCAACATGGCAGCAACTCCTCTAAGTCGGTGTTTTCTGTCAGTGCTGAGGAGACACGCTCGGTGTCAGACCCGTGGATTTAACGGAAACTCGAGCCTTGGCAGCGGACCGTCGGTGGGATGGGACAGAAACAGAAACAGCGGTGGGGACAACAGTCGCTCTCCGGGGTTTACGACACTCTCTGTGGGTTTGGGACTGTGTGGTGCCGCGCTGCTCTACAGTCAAAGGGACAAACACTCAAAGGACAGAGACGCTTCTGTGTCTGTGCGGGTTTTAGAACTCATTCTCCCATCAGCTCTTTGTGCCTCTCCATTCAAACCTGACAGCCCCCGGTATAAATACAACTTCATTGCAGATGTAGTCGAAAAGTCCACTCCAGCTGTCGTTTACATTGAAATCGTGGGCAGGTAAGTTGACTGGAAAGCTGCCATGTGGAATAACTAAAATGTAAACACAAATATTTCTCTACAGTCTCCGAACCAAATAGGAAATGTTGCTCTGTCTAAATGTACCTTAGATTTTAATCACAATGGGTAGCCTTAAATATCAAGGCATTATATACAGGAACAGAGATATGACAGCAAAATGCACACACTTCTAGTAACACTTATCAAATGAAAGAATGGGTTGATAACAGTGAAATATAAAAACATGCGCAGAGGCGACATAGATGAGATTATTTCAGGCCATATGATCCGTGTGTTACATAAGAAAGTTTGAAGATCTGACTGTGATGACTTTATTTTCCTTTCAGTTGAAGTTTATCGTTCACCAGGTTAGATGACAAACGTGGATCATAATGTAACTGAGCTCAATCATTTTGCCTATCCACCCATACACATATAACTTATTATGAGAAGTGAAACAATCAAAACATTTCATTAAGTATTGTGAAACAGGAAAAATAAGGAACTGGTGTTTTTCTGTGAAGCTGGGGATGTGTATTATAGTGCGCTTCTTTAATGGATCATGTATGAAAAAGGTCGTCAAAATGATGTTGTTATTTTCTATCCAATACTCAGCTAATTCAACTCTTCAGTTTAACCTCAAGGGGCCTCCAGAGCCTCAGTGAGGGCACTGAGAGTCACTTTGGGCCTAACTCTATCTAGTGAATAAATGAGTGCTCATTATCATATGGTTTAATTATCAGTCAACGTAATTAAGGTTTAGGTTTTTCTATCTTTCTAGATTAACTAAGCTAGTCAAGTCAATTCATCTGCCTGTGATGTTTTACAGACACCCATTTTCAGGACGAGAGGTCCCTGTGTCCAACGGCTCTGGGTTCATCATCAGCGGCTCTGGGTTCATCATCAGCAGCGATGGTCTCATCGTCACCAGCGCTCACGTTGTGGCCAACAAGAGAGGCGTGCGAGTGAAGCTCACAAACGGAGATGCGTACAACGCCACCGTGCAGGATGTTGATCCTGTGGCAGACATCGCCACCATCAAAATCACGCCGAGGGTGAGCAACAAAGAATCTCTTCAAAAGAAAATGAACGTGACTATTTAAAAAAAAAAATCTTACCGGGTGCCCTTTTGCATCCATCACAAGAGCACAGAGAGGAAATCACTGCAACTGACACGGTCAACTAAATGAAGACAAGGCAATTTATTTCTACATGAAGCAATCCAAAGGGCTTCACAGAGTTCAAAACAATAAGATCAAAAAGGCTTAGAGAAGTATTTAATAGAAAAAGAAAGAACATACAGATCGGTTTCTTCACAAACGTGAAACCAGGGAATGGCCATTGTTTGATATCAAATCAACAAAAACAAAAAATCAAGCAGGGTTCTGTTTCCCTTATTGAAAAGACTTAGTGTCTGAAGGACTAAAGACTGATTCAACAAGTTAGTAAATGTAACTTAAAAAAAAATGAAATCGTGCAGAGCCAGAAAAGGCCGTTTTGTTCATGTGATACTGTATCTACGAGCAGTGAGGATACACTGCTGACTTGCTCTTTCTCCTCCCTGACTTGTAGAATCCTTTACCCACGCTCACCCTCGGCAAGTCCTGTGACATTCGACAAGGAGAGTTTGTGGTCGCCATGGGTAGCCCTTTTGCTTTAAAGAATACAATAACCTCAGGGATCGTGAGCTCAGTGCAGCGAGGCAGCAAGGAGCTGGGCCTGTCCAATCCCAACATGGACTACATCCAGACCGATGCAGCCATTGATGTGAGTGTTCTGCCCCAAGTTCAGAGTTAGAATTCTGTACAGTGGATTAGTTTATGCTCAAAGCTGTGTCATTTTCTTAAGACTGTGGGGAAAGTAAAACGTGATTGTTTTTCCACACTTTTTTTTTTTTTTAATACCTATATGATCAGATTTCCTGAATTTAAATGTTGTTGTTTTTTTTTTTTTTGCAGTTTGGCAATTCTGGAGGTCCCCTCATTAACTTGGTGAGTTACTGTTCCTCTTTAAATGTTACTCATCTCATATATTATACTCTAGTTACTGATGTTTAGTCGCTGCTCAAAGAAATAAGAGAACACTTACATCACACATCAGATCTCGATGAACAGATTATTCAAATTGAAAATCTTTAGTGATGTCCATGGTATAATTTGTCGAGAACAAATAAACATAACATTGGTCAATGGAAACCAAAATCCTCTATCCATGGAGGGCAGGATTAGAGATCGTTAGGAAAATCAAAGGAAAAGTTCAAAATCACACGCCGGTTTTATCATGGCAACTCATAATGTGACTCAGTAGTGTGTCTGGCCCCTGCATGCCTGTATGCACTCCTGACAGTATCTGGATCATGCTCCTGATGGGTCAGCGGATGATGTCATGTGGGATCTCCTCCCAGACCTGGATCAGGGCATCAGTGAGCTCCAAAACAGTCTGTGGCGATACTTAGCAGCGTTGTATGCACCTATACATAAAGTCCTATGGGTGCTCAATTGGATATAAGTCAGGGGAACAAGAGGGATAGTCAATGACATCAATGCCTTCGTCATCCAGGAACTGCCTACTCACTCTTGCCACCAGCGTGAGGTTTGACAATGGCTCTGAGGATTTCATCCCAGTACCAAACAGCAGTCTCAGGGTACGTTTGGTTATGACATGGAGATCTGTGCAACCCTCTAAGGAGCCTCCCCAGACCATCACTGACCCACAGAAAAACCAGTGATGCCGCATGATACAGCCAGCACAATGTTCACCACTGGGTCTTCAGGCTCTTTCACGCCTGTCACATGTGCTCGGTATGAAACTACTCTGATCTGTGACGAGAACAGGGCACAAATTTGGGACCTGCCAATTCTAGTTTTCTTTGGCAAATGCCAATCTAGCTCCACTGTGCTGGTCAAAAGGCTCTTTCATGCTCTTCAGACTGTACTGGGAGACAAAGGCTAAATTGATTCACAATCACCAGTTCTTAACAAATGGACAGATTGATATATCAATTTAACTGACAATGACGAATGAGTGTTCCTGAGCAGCGTTCAGAAAAAGAACCTTCAGGTTTTGATCACACATTTTTTACATTTATGTGTTACCCAGCAACTGGATATATTGTTGCTATCAGGAGATCTGTGGGTGTTTCCCTGAGTCAGACTGAGGTGACAGGACTTTGTTCCAACACATATCGATGCACAACAACCAATCTGATTGTGTTATCCGCTCTCTACTCAGGACGGTGAAGTCATCGGTATAAACACCATGAAGGTCACTGCAGGAATCTCCTTTGCCATACCGTCAGATCGCGTCAGACTTTTCCTTGATAATGCAGAGAAGAAAAAGAGTAAGAATCAATTTTCTAAAACATTTTGTCTCTGTTGCATATTCGACGTGGCATCCGAAAATTCATAGGAAATCATTTATCTTTACACTTACATTTTTTTGTGTGCCTTCTTAAAGCATCGTGGTCCGGCGAGTCGCAGACGAAGCGGCGTTACATTGGCGTGATGATGCTAACGCTTACACAGAGGTAAATGCTTTACAAAAAGAAATGTCTGCAGTGTAACAGAGGTGATAATATCAAGACTGAAGCCACTTTGCCCAAAATAACTACTTTCTGATTTGTCCCCTGGCTTCAGCATCATTGCAGAGTTGAAGTTGAGAGACCCGTCCTTTCCGGATGTGACACACGGCATCCTGATTCACAAAGTGATCATGGGCTCACCGGCGAACAGGTAAGCAGAGGAACTGACCTGATGGACAGTTGTTGCTCACGTCAGATCAATAAATCCTGTATAACTTAGCAGACTTATATTGGCGGCTTTATGCATCATTCACAGACACTGCATGATATGTTTTGTAGTTAGAGTTATATGTAGAAGCTGACATTTTCTAACTAATAGAAATCCCGCCTAAAATGCATTTTGATGTGTTTACAAAGTGCTTTTGAAATAAAAATGCACCCAAGATAGAATTGTCTCTTGAAAAACAATGTTTTTGAACATCATTTTTTTTAAGTGAGTTTTGGGTGTATCCTGCATGTTGTACAGGAAACGTCCAGTTAGTTTTCCTCGCATCATGAAGCGTGAATGAGAGGTTGCTACTAACCAGCCGTATTGTCGTTCTCGTCTCAGAGCAGGCATGCTGCCAGGAGATATCGTGTTGGAGATCAACGGAGTGAAAGTGAACACCTCAGAGGAGATCTACCAGACCGTCCGCAGTAGCGATCAAATCACCATGGTGGTGCAACGAGGACATGAGCTGCTGCAGCTCCATATGACTCCAGAGTACACAGAGTGACACTGAGCATATCGTTTCTGTGTCTGTTGAGTAAAAGGACAAATGGACGTATGACTAATTCATGGAAAAAAAGAGAACACTGTAAAACATGTTTGACAGTTTGATTACCGGCCTAGTTTTATCAATGGAACAAGCTCCAGTATTTGTAGGTTGAATTACTTGTTTAAACCACAACAGAACTGAGAGCAGTAAGACTGTGGTGACAGCATAATGTTAAGGTTAAGGTGGATTTGTGCCGTATTTATGTTCAAGTTTTGCCTGGTTTAATACATCTCTAAAGCTGCCTCTCTAAATGTCTGTATGGCTGTAATCAACGGCATTTCTACAATTCAAACATGAACCTTCCAGCACCTACGGACATGAGTAATGCTACAGTATATATTCATAGTTTTTCAATGAGTAAAATAAAGAAAATGTGTTTTCTACCTTACAAAAAAAAAGTGGTTTCTTTCTGTAAAAGTAGCAAAACGTGCATAAGGCAATATAATAGATGTAGTATTTGTAAACCACAAATGAAGGAAAGCTGAAACAATGCACTTTATTAAAGCCATTTAATGTTAGACAGCAACAAGAAGCATGAGAGACCCAACAATATGTTACGGATCAATGGTTTGAACCTGACTACCATTAACTGAGCAAACGAGTCTGATGACTCCTGATGATGATCACGGGTCAAATATGGAGCACTGAGATCCCTCTTATGTTAACTGACTGTTTCGAGTATGTCACACATTTAAAACCAAAAACACAAGTTCACTTTATGTTAAAAGAAAAAATCCAATAGTGCATGAAGAGAAGCAACAGAAGATGAAGTTACTCTTGGCGTGAGAGTAAGAGTCAAAGCTGTGAAGTCAAAGTGAGAACATTAAAATGTTCCTGGTATATGTACAGTAGCACACTTACAGTAAAGTAATACAGTGACATGTACTGGACTGCTACACAATTAAATGCATTTATCTCAAAGACGTATATCTATTAAATGGAGATAAACATTAAAACCGGTTAAGGTTTAAACAACATGTTCATACTTCTGGACTAAAGACATCTGGTTAGGTACGAGTACTACAACATACAAGTATGGGAGGGAAAAATAAAATTGTTCAAATCCCATTAAAATGACTTTAAAAAGGCTTAATATATATTGCTGGTAATATTTATCTTTTTAAGAAAATATAAATTGTGCGACTGAAGCTTACAATACACTGCTGGCAGTTCTGTGGTGACCTGCTGGAAGAGGGTCACATGTAGAGGCGCTGTGTGCTGAGAGACTCCCCGGAGGAGAGACAAAAAAAAAAAAAATAGGACAACAATTGGACATCTCATGATGCCTGAATCCCTTGCACCAAAAACCCAGATGCTGCTATGGTGTTTGTCACGGTGGAATGCTGCAGATATCACATGATGTGCACAAACAGCAGCCAAACTAAAGTCAAACTCATACACATACATAAATAAGGGGTAGAGGGGTGGGGTTAGGTGGGGGTCTTGGAGAGGGGAGAAATTGTAGTGTCCAGTATAGTTCAGCAGTGAGCAAGCTAAGCTTTGACTCAGTTGACGTGGTCCAGAGCGCGCAGCAGCTCCTCCCCCTGCAGCAGGTACTGACGACCCTGTAAGGGGGCGTTGACCTCGCAGTCGTAGCGGGTGAGCTGTGGCAGGGTGAAAGGGGAACTGGAGCCTTCTGACGTGCTACCCAGCAGACGACACGCCATATCTAAAAAAAATATATAAATAACAGTTATGCTTCTGTTGATTTCATGTTTCATGGCTGTTGGAATGATTAATATAGCCTCTGTACATGGGGCACACGCTCTAACCACTGAGCCAAACCCTGCACCCCAACATCCGGAAAAAATGTATTACAGAATGAGTTTGATCACCTGAAGGCAGCAGAAGTATGGTGGTAGTTGTTTCCGACTCTGAGGGCTTCAGCTTCTTGCCCTGCTCCAGTTGTTCGGGGGGCAGAGCTCCCTGGAATGATGATCAAAAACAAACACTCAAACTCACCATCAGTAAAGTGGTATATATATAAACCAATGCTTGGGCAGATGTAGAAGACTAACCTGTCCAATCATCTGTTTTAAGTCGCCCAGTTTTCGTTTACGCTGTGTGTTCTGAGCTGCCAGGGTCCTAAGAGACACTTCTTTGTCCACTTGTGGGGTCCTGCAGCACGGTAAAAAATAATTAGCTTATCAAAGTACCTACATAAGACAGCAACAAATATGCACTACTCTAACAATAAAAATGTACCTCTTGGAAATGATGCTGGCAAAATGAGGGGCGTTTACTGGCTCAGGTGGAGCTGGTGAAGCGGTGCGGCTGTTTGGTGCACTGAATGGGGAACTGGGATAGCTGTGGATGTCCTTTGCGACGCTGACTGGAGGACTCTCAAGGGCTTTGACTGGTCCACAGGACAGAGGCTCATCTGGGCTCAGACTGCGCAGCTGGAAGTCATCGTCCATTGGGATGTAGGGCGCCAACATCTCCAGATCTAATCCTTCCATTGCCTTCAAGAAAGAAAATGGGTAAATCACTATACAGAGAGAATCTCAGTCTTATTGAGCATGAATGACTTTGATTTAAATGCAGTTAATGCAGTTCTACAGAATCTGCTGACATAATTACCTGTGTGTTGAAGGGGGTCTTGGGCTCTGGATCAATGGCAAACAGCTTCTCTACCAAGTCTAGTTTGAAATCTGAGCTCATCTCCGAATCCATGGGGAAACAAAAATCCAATGGACTGCCAGCCTTAAGAGAACAGAAGTCACAGGTCAACCCCCCTCTCAATACAGAGTAGTTAGTGGATAATAAAGCTGATCACCTCCACTGCAACAAAAAAATAACAGTTTTGGCCCCTGTCTTACCTCTGAGGAGCTGTGGCTGGTCTCTGTAGAGGATGAGGCTGCTGTGTAGGTCTCAGCTTTTGCATCCTTAGAGGTGCTGTTGACAAGGAGAGGCTCACTGGACGGCAGAGGAGAGAGAGGCAGGGCCAGCTTGTCACTGGTGGAGGGAAGCATGACATCATTGTAGAGAGGGACTTCCTTCAGCAGCTGGATCTCTGAATCTGAACCAGAAGACAGAGGGAAGTCAAAATGGATTCATGCAGGACATTAACGGTTTTTTTTTTGGGGGGGGGGGGTCTAAACGTGTGTATATGAGCACAAACCAGGGCAGCTGAAGTCCAGGGAGATGATTGTGTCTCCGGCGGCAGGTGCTAGCAGGGTGAGGGCCTCAGGCTCTTCTTTTAGCTGGTCATACAGGCTGGGCAGCGGCTGGACCTCTACTGTTGGTGTGAACAGATTGACCCCATCCAGCTCAGGCTTCTTCTCCTCCTCTTTCTGTGGGGTTGGAGAAATGTCTGACTGGCTGCTCTCGACATCAGCCTTTTCTTCCTCCTGCTGCTGCTCCTCTTTTATCGACTTCACATCCTCAGTCTGCTCCAAAGACAAGATGAGTTTCTCCTCCTGGATGCCACTGCAACAAAGTAATGCAGCTGTTAGAGTCCGTTAACAGAGGATTTTGTAGAATAATGAAATTGAATACCGAAACTTCCAAAAATTTCACATTTGTTTTTTTTTTTAACAGCTTGTTTTAGTACCTGAGCACAAAGTTGACACAGACGACACACTGTGGCTGAGAGTTCTTGTTGTTGTAGATCACAGTGGCTTGGGTTTCCACCCACACAAAGCCTCCCCTCTTAGCCAACATCCGGTACTGGCCTGTGGTGACCTGGCCCTTTGCAAACACTAACATTAAAGAGAAAAAAAAACAACATAAAACAGATTAAGACATATTGGGGAAAATCACTGCTGTCATTTATTGAGACTGTAAGTTAGTAAATTAAACCAATCCCTAAACATTAAGCAGTGTAATGCTTACAGTTGTGGTGAGTCTTTGTGAGATGGTCTGAGTCCAGAGCATGATAGTACTCATACACAGAACGGTTCAACAGCTCCTCTGGATCATAACCCATGAGCTCAGTGATCCTTAAACATTAAAAAAATATATACATCTATAAATTAAGCAAATAACAGATTAGGGCGAGTAAAGGACTTGTAGTGTACAAACTGACCACTAGGTGGCTCTGTTTGACTATGCTAGTCCTAATTCAGTGAGTACTACGTTGAGCATATTATATTCACTAGCAGAGAGAAACTCACCTCTCGTCACAGTACGTGAACTTCATGTCCATTGTGTGGCGGCTGAGGAAGGTCTTGGTGTCCAGGGGGACCTCGATGTTGGAGGGGTGAGGGATGGGGTCACAGATCAGAACCAAGTAGGGGAAAGGCGGCTCCATCTGCTCATTGGAAGTCTCCTCAGTGTGGCTGTCGTATACCTGGACGTGACCCGAGCACTGGAGCACCTGCAAAGAGTGGAGGAGGAGGAGGATGCTACAATTTGAGCAGAAAGTAAAGACTCATATTGTTAACTTCATCTATACGTCCACAATGTTTATGTGCAAGTGTCAACTTAACAAGAAAAACAAGTCTTTGAAGTCATAAGGTGATGTTTGAAGCATATCATAGTTAATTTGTTAATCATTCAAGTTTCCCATCATGCTATAAGTTCATGACAAATTTCATTTATTTTTTTCTAAACGTCCCTACATCAATTAAAATGACTGATTAGTTCAATTATATCAAGACTAGCATGACGCTCCATTTCACTTTTCATTGATTTACTGCAGATGTATTGATCCCCTATGAACCGAAACAGATATCATTAGTGCTGCTTTTTAGTCTGAATGTATTAAATGTCGGCTTCCCTAACAAAACCAGTGTTAAAACACATATTACACATGAAAATGCTTAACATTAATAATTCAATTATTATAAATCATTCTAAAGTGAACTGTCATCAAGCCTGCTGCCTACCTTCCATGTGGCTGATTTGACATTGACAGTGCGGCCTCTGCTTGTGAGGGTGCATTTCATTCGGAGGAAGAAGCTGCGTTCTGTGCTTGGTTCCTTTGCCTTTTTGGAGCCTGAAATCACATGAGTAGGACGTGTGTCACACAGTGAAAGAGGAAACTAGTTTCTTATGTTGTCATTTCAAAGCTGCCCATTACAACTTCTTCTTTTTTACACTGTGTTGTGTTGTCGCCAACAGTTCATATTTGCATTTAGAGCAGCTATTTAGCTGTAAAGGCTCTGCACTGTGGTTATGTTCAACAGGGGAAATAAAGGAAGTGGAGCAGCCACTCGTTGTGGCTTAGATAATGTAAGTTCAAAATGACTGAGTGCAGTGCCTGACAAGAAAACCTGATGTGGCTTCAAATCATCAGCCATTCAAGAGAAATGATGTTATGAAGAACATTTCAGAAGACATAAATAAGAAGAAACACATAAACACACAAAGAGAGAAACGTTCAGTTGTGGAAGAAAAACAGGAAATGATCCAGTAATGCAGCGACTGTTCTAGAAACGTTGAGTGAAAACAAGACGACTCTAATAACTTACACCTCACAACTGAAGTGAAAAAACTGTTTTGACAATGTTGTAGTCTAAATCTGCCAGTTAAGAGTTAATCTGAGTAAATCTGTGTTTAATGGAGCATTGCCATCTTTCTCTTTCCTTTCGTGAGGTCTTATTAAGTGCAGCAGCTCCCAGTTGTTGTCTCTCACCTGTTCTGTGGACCAGCATCTCTCTCAGCTCCTCTTGGTCACAGGGATGTATGAAGTCAAACACACTGTGTCCTGTCAGGTCAAACTGCAGCAGAGAGGGAGACAACGTAAATACTTTATGTTAGTTTTGGTCGATATCCTGCAGGGACATTTTCATTTTCACAAAAGGCATCATGTTTAGGTAAACTTGTGTCCTACATGAAAATCTTTTGCCTCTTAAATCTGTTAGTGATCACAGTCACACTCTCTCTATTGCCCACACACAGCTGGTCAAAACACACCAACCTGTGCCAACCCCAGGCACTTGTTGACATTCTCGGACATATAGACCATATCTCCGTCTTCAGACAGCACCATGAGAAAACCCTCCAGAGCCTTCAGGTAGGAGCTGTTTAGCTGCTCATCAAGCTCTGTTTGTTCCTCTGCCATTGGCTCATCTGGAGGAGATAACAGAGAAGGAAATGAGAGAGATAAAATAAAAAAAAAGGTAGAGAAAGAAAAGAAAAGCCTGAACAAAACTGGGACATCAATGGTCCTGTTCCAAATTGACATGTTTCGGGGAAGAACACTGCTAAACACAGACACTATGCTGTAACCACATGCATATCTGCAGAGGGATCTATATCTGTGTATGTGTCAGTCAATTTCCCAGAGAGTCTGACTCAGTGTTTAACCATCTTCCGCTGTTTTCTTCAAATTTCCGCAGCATCGTAGGCTCTGCTCACTTGTTTTCAACTCTGAATTTACCTACTTACACTCTATAAATTAAGACTTTACACACACTTGAAGACTCTGTAGGTAAGGTAACTTTTCACTTAAAGGTCAAACAACAGATACTGACCTGTGCTGAGCAGTTTCCTCATGCGCAAGTAACTGATAGTGAGCCTCATTATTGACGCCTTGTCGAGGCTGGAGCGGATGCTGTGGGGCAGGGGCAGCTCCTGGGCCAGCTCGTAGAACACCTCTGATTCCTTCCCACGCCGACATCGCGCTGCATCCCTCGACTTCTCCTTTCTCCGCTCGGCGCTCACTCTGCGGGAGACAGGAGGTGAAAGATCAGCGCCAGACTGGTCACAAACTGATTTGGATCCAACTATGCACACTACAAGCTCTGACATCCCTCCTCCCTGACTGAGAGTGTGTACAGAGTCTATCACTGGGGCTGCTGCAGCAGCTGGAGTCTGCTGTCTGTATCCCGACAGACTAATTTACATACATGGCTGTCTGCAACCATCTTATTGGCTTCTGACCAAAAGACGAGGAGACCAGCCCCTCAGAGCAATTGGCTAGATGGCCAGGCATGGATTCTCCTGTCTGTCTGTTGGTGCACAGCCAAGCTACACTGCCATACAAATCATCGTGACATTTATGAGCCTGGCTGAACCGGTGGACGAGGAGGGGTATGATCAAACTGGCACTAACACAGAGTGCACAGAACAACACTGACTTCTGGACACCTTCGACTAACAGGACAAAATAACTTTGGATGCATTTTCTGTTATTTTACACGAGCTTCCTTCTTACTGTGTGTTCTCGCTCTCCACTCAAGACCAAGAATTTATCAAGGCAGTTATCCAAGCTCTTCTTAATGGACTCTCACTCAGTCAACTTGAACCGGGAAAAAAACGTTGCTTTTAAGCTAAGCAAGCACTGGATTGTGTTTGTGAAACTCGCAGGACCACTCACATAAATAGTCTGGCCAAGTGTTTCACATAATTGCAATATCTATCCTGACGGCAGCAGGAGACTTTAATCTCTCTCACAGAGCACAACCTTGTGACCATGAATGCTTTGAAATAACACTGAACTTGAATAACAACAAAAAGACTGCAGACCAAAAGCCCTTGGCTTTGAAATGTACACCTAATCGAAATTGATCTGTTATGCACTTACAGCATGGACCGAGGCCATGTTGTTATTTATGGATCTAAAACAAGAAAATTGACCAGTTAAATAAATGTAGCTGGCAGTGTACCAATTCATCTTGCAGAGCTGCACACAGATTTTTCATAATGCAGAGAGGTTTAGGGAAGCATTCAGGTTTGAAAAAAAAAAAATTGCACAATGAGCCCTGAGTGTGGACATTACATAAGCTTAAGAATAATAACTATGAATGAGATTTTAATGAGCACAGGAGAGTGTTCAAAGTACTGACATAAACTTTTAATAATATAACCTTAAGTGAAAGAAATCTTAAACAATAACAAAAATGTCTGCACGTCTATGTTTAATTAAGTTAACAAGAAACAAAAAGCCTCCTCCTGTTAGACGTTTATGTGTACTCAATCCAAACAAGCCCTATTGTATACACTGCACTCATGTTTGACCATTAGTCAATACACATGTACAAACATTTACATTATCCTCTCTCAGCCCTGTGGACCATCTGATCATAGTATTATGCAACAAGTCCTGATTTGTATCGACACATCTGTTTTCAAGTCCACTTCAGTGTGGGCTGACGACCAACCTAAACTATGACCACAAATGATTTAAAAGATATAGTACACTGGAAACCCAGTGACAGAGTCCTCTTATTAGGCTACTGGCTAAGCTTCTGATGAGCTAATGACAGACACAATTCCTTTGTAGGCACTGGATCCCATCATGTCACATGACCTTATGCAAATCCTGTTTAAATAAGGCTAAGCCGTGGTTCTCCATAGGTAAAAAAAGAAGATAGATGACTGGATTCAACATGACAGACAGCAAAGTGTAAATAGAAATTCAAAGCAATGTATACATCTTTTGAAAATAATGCTTTGTACTCACTTTTGTGATTTCAGTGGAATACAAGACTGTACGGCATGATTTAAAAAGTGGAATTTTAGCTATCCTACCCACAATGACTATTTATAAACTTTCTAACCCCGAGAAATCAGCATTCCTTCTTTAACATGAAATATGCAATGAAAACAAAACAGATCCCTTGACGTTAAAACAAAGGCCAGCAGAGAGGCCACTGTTACATAACACTAATGCACATGGCCATGCATGCCCTGCAGCGCCCTGCTCCACATGCCTCCCTGCGTAGTTTGCCGTTTAATTAATTACACTTTGTTTTGTTTTTTTTTCTAATAAGAATGAGTGCTGCTATGAAAAAAAAAAACGATAATGAACAAGTGGATTGGAGGGTAAGAGAAAACAATGTACAATACAAATCACTCTAGGGTTACCAGAGTGGCTTGTTTTAGTTACCAGGCGCTGACCTATTTCCATAGAGAAATGTTCTCACTATCTGTCAGCTCTGTTTAGTGTGAGAGTAAATAATCTCATCTGTTATGTAATCCAGTCCAAAGAAACAACACAACTAAAACTGTGTGCAGAATGGGAGGAAAAGCAAAGAAATGCTCTGCTGAAATAAGAGATGCAACAATTCATATCATAATAAACCGCTCAGTACGGCGTCCCCGTTTCAATGTGCGCTTGTAAATTGCGGCTTTTCAGTTTTCGTACAATGCGTAAAATGAGCTTCCATGCATTTGATTGATCTCTGAAATGGCTCTGTTTGTGTGTGCTGTGAGCCCATGCGCTGGGATAAGGAGCATAAGGACAAGGAAGAGAAAGTGGTGAAAATATATAGCCTGAATACATTTAGTTTTGTCTTCCTATTTGCACAGTGGGTCTACATGGCACGACTTCAACCCTGTTTTCTTTTTTACGAAGACTATACACCACCGTACACCATGTGTCTATAAAATGTCTATAAAAAGATAAGTTGTTCTGCTTAAAAGTAAAATACAGAAATACTTTAGGAATAAATACAAATATTTTTTAACCCCTTGCTGTTCTTGTAAAAATTGTCTGAAACACCAAAGAATGGCATACCAAAAAAACACCAACAGCCCGTGCCGTCAGAATAAAACTTTAAAACTGTGACCAAAAAAACGAGATACATTGAACCGTGGGCTGTCTATGCTGAAATTAAAGCTTTTCGGACAGACTAATGAAGCCTTAGTGTGTTAATAATATAGAAAACATGAAGTTACATTTTGAGAGCAGCATTGTAGCAAACTAAATAAAAGAACTGTGTAATAAAAAAGGTTTGATATCTTCGATGGATCCTGTCCATCAGCGGCAACAATTCACCCTGACATAAAAACATACAACAATATCAGCCTGCAGGGCTACTACCATCAGGGCAAAAGCCATGATGGTAATAGACGTGTTTTACAGCCATGAAATTCTGTTAGCCTGAATGGCTTTCATCAGTCTGTGGTCTTTTCAGCTTCGCTTGATTTGTTTTGTGTTTGTATGGGCCATGTGGCTGTGATGATGCAAAGGCTGCTGAAATGTAGCAGGGGGGACTAGTAAATCTGAAAACTAAGATAATAACTGTGAGAGAATATTCAGACTCGACTCCTGGAACGGACCCACAACAATTCATTAAATGCAATCCACATGAAAGCACATTCACAAGTGGCAAACTTTGGATACCAAAATGTAAAGCAACACAGACAGAGGCATAAAAATAGTGCCATGTCAAATAGAACGAGAACAAGCACCAATGAGTCATTTCACAAAAAACCCTGTATTAAATGCACAACTTATGAGGGGAAATAAACGTGTTTACATCCTGGTTAACCCCCCTCTGCCATGACATGAACAGCTACCCTTATAAATACAACCTTATTCTTTAGAAGCAGATGTTGCACATCTTATTAACTAGAAAACATCTTACCCTTGGTTATCATAGACTGTAAAGCTGTCAAAGCTTGTTGTATATACAGCATGCAGTAATCACATAAGACCTGTGTCATAAACAGCCTTTCATATCCTTTAATAACACAGTACGCTTTGAGTGTTTGCAGACAGCCAATGCTCATTTCCAGCTTCAACTCACCCAGTGTGGATTGTACAAATCTTACTCAAACCAACTAAGAATTGTACTTCCTAAAACTTTCTGTGTGTTGCCTAATAGAAGGCTTCATCTCTGAAGTGTGTTCAATGATAAAAGGGGACTTTGGAGAGTTTTAAATACTACCTTTAGATAGAGTGACTCTGTATGACCGACTGACTGGAGGATTCATTCAGACCAGCTGCAATGCGAGTCTGCAGGGAATGAGTTTATCCAGCGAAGTATTTAAGCTTGTTTCTCACTAAAACCTACTAAGATGAGATTTTAACTGCTTATGAAACAGTCTCATGTTCCCGATGCCTCTGTATAACTCACAAAAGCAAACAAGACAATCCGCTTAATTATGACTAAGAGTCCAAAGCGCCAAATGCTGGTAGAGTTTCCGTTTGGCGAGTACATTTCAGAAGGCACACCACAGGGAGTGTAAATGTTTTACCCAACAGTCATGTATGAAAACTATGCTGCAAATTAAGTGTTAACTACTTTCTCCTGTTCCCTCTTTCTGGTGGCTATATGACGGAGCATCACGGGATACACATATAAACACTGAATATATAGCACACGCTAAATGCACGTTCCACCTTTCCAACACGCGCGTCAGGAGCAGTCAGAGATACACACACGTCCAATAATGAACAGTTTGCTTATATTAAGTGTTTAACATTGCCAGTGCTAAGATAAGAGATTAAAAACGTGTTTTTGTGAATTAAAGCAGGTCAATTATTCTCAGATTAATTTTTGTTTTGAGGTTGTAAGGTTGTAATGCAGGAGGGTCCAGAGGGGAGCAGGGGGGTCTGGGCAGTGTGACACTACTACCAAAAAAAAAGGCGAGCAAATATATTTATAATTTCTCAATTTCCTGATCTGATAAAATTATCCAATCCGCGATTTAAATGGACTGTAACAAAGGTGTATGCGACACCAAAACATAATTGATTATTTTGGCCAGGAAAAAATATACTTGGCAGGTGAATTTCTTCATCCACCCGAACGTCACTTCTGACAAAGCAATTTACAGCCTGTGACTCAAAGGGCCTTTGTTTACCTTTAACCCACACAGTGAGTAGTGCGTTAGACACTTAAAAGGACACAGGAGGAGAGTGTACTCTACAGGACAGGAGCAGCAGGGAATTAAGAGTCACAACCATGAGTCAAAAAGAATAATCCTTAAAGCATCTTTATAACTCATCGCAAGGGAAAGACTTTAGACCTCTAATCTTATTAATGCAAAGAGCTCGGCTTATACATTTAGACAACATTCAAAGTTATAAACTTCCTCTACACTGCTCACCTCTCGCCTTTTAACATGTTTACTGAGATGAAGGCAAAACTTAGCTATCACTGAATTTCAAAAATGGATTTTCTTCAGCAGGACCTTAATGCTACTTTTGGAAATTCAACACCATGTCAGGAACACCATTAATAAACATGAATAAACATTAACAAACATCACTAATAAAGACAGAGGCCAAGTCCATACCTCTTAAGTTCAGTTATGAGTCCACATTCATGTATGAAAAAGTCAACTTACAACATTCTGAAATGTGCATTATGCTGAAAACATGATTTATGGAGGTATTGTTTTCATATTTCCTTCCTTGCACTGTTGCTTCCTTCGTCAGTCCTCACAATTACAGCTAAGACGTTTCCAACTGTTTCCTTTCTGTTTTAAACCTGAAACACATCACTCTGCATTTTTCTGAACACAGAAACGCTTGATAGAGGAAAAGCTGTGATCGTATTGCTTGTTCAAACGAGAGTCACAAAATCACAAAACATAAACCAAGAAAAATGTGTGCACAGACAAAACATACCGATGCCCTGCACTTGCAAGTTTGTTTTTCAAGTTCAAACTAGCCTCACACAAGTGGGTATTGTACTTGAGTGTCTCAGGGCAGGCTGCAAACTGCAGCCAATGATTCTGTACACACAGTTGGCCACTCCTATTGACGTCAAGCCTGGGTGATTAAGAGATGAGACAGAAATAATACCAAGGCACCTCACAGAGACGAGCCAAGTCTGAATCAAACCAGGCCACAACTTCGGATTTCCTTTCTTTTTCTTTTTTTAAAGTTGACACCAGAAAAAAAATGTTTTGACTCCTTAACTAGACCTACACTGGACAGAGTGCTGAATTTAAATTGGTATGGCACAAGAGCTACAGGCAAATCACTTTTCTTAACTCTGAGTCCACAAATCTGATTGTTTTTCTCCAAACCGTGACGACAAGTTAAAAAGAACATCGACAACAACACAAACAGGATGTAACACACAGGGCCCATGTTGAATAATCGATCCAAAAGTAATATTCCACTTAAACTAACAAATTAAACACCTGTTATTGTTTTGTCAAGCCTCTTGTATCTTGATATATTGTTGAAAAAAATAGAAGTGCACCCTCTGTATTTGAAATGTTAAGACAATATGAACTTTTTACACCAGGATCTGATAACTAGCATATGAGTCTCTAAACTGTTGCTCTAAACCAACAAAATTATTTTAATGCAAAAATGTACAGCTATCACAAAGTCCCCAGTGAACTTTTATAACGAGCGCCCCATGTACAGAGGCTACAGCCCTTAACCGTGGGTTCAAATCCCACCTCTGCCCTTTGCTGCATGTCATCCCCACTCTCTCACCTCCTAACATTTCCTGTCTCTCTAAAGCTGTCGTTTTTTTGATTCGACATAACTTTTCGGTTCTAGATCCAGCACCCACTTAGGAAAGTGGGTGTCTTTTTTTTATTTATTTATCCAAAATAGGACAGATCTGAGGACAAGTTCGTCATCTGCATGTTTAATTTATTTTTAAATGAAAGAAATGACCCGATCATTACTGCAGCTAAGAGTCTGAGCATGCACGGGAAAATGTTCCTATTCTCCAGCAAAACACTTTTTACTGTGTTTTCACACAAATGTGTCAAAAATCAGCTTAAAGGGTCATCAGTGGCCTAGTGGTTAGTTTGGGTGGCTCCAATACCTACACATCAAGTCCATGAACAGTCCTGCCAGACTTGATAAACTATTTTACTCAATGACCTGACTGACTTACACACCACTTCTCTCTATGGTAACTACGGGTTTCTAAAATGTCTTATTACCTGTGTGTGTGTGTGTGTGTGTGTGTGTGTGTGTGTCTTTCATGCTAGATAAAGCAACCTGGTGTTGTCTTACTCATATCCTATCATGGCTTCAATGATTTTCAGAACACTTCTCTGAATTAGTTTCTCGGAAATAAACATGAAACTGAGTCTTGGTTTAAAAAACGTGTAAACAATGCGGGAGAAAAGCAAGTTCAGTGGGTGAAAACGTTTTTGAAAAGCAACCACTGACTACTTCCAACAAAGTTATACAAATAAACACTATCATGTGTTGCCTGTATCTGTACTACGTTTGTCAGCTTGAGACAATTCAAAGCAGCTTCACCATCAAACCCTCAAACATTTCATCAGAAACTTGACGCCCAGATCCAGCTGCTCACATGAGCTCTGGCAACTTTCCCAGAAAACTGTCAATTCCCACACATTAAAAACATTACACGACCTGACATCAACCAAAACAAGAGCAAATTCAAAACAAAGGTTAGCAAACATAAAACTTAGGATGTCTCTACACCGATCACAAACACAACCGTGTAGCTGCCACTGTCGGCTTGACTTAACATGCATGTCGAAATACTTTTAATGAAGGTTAATAACAAATAAAAAACACCAGTCAGATACGCTGTGTCCTTTAATACGGGACAGTCCTCATCATCTTTATGACAGTTAGCTAGTTAGCTGTGCTAGCCGCCTGCTAACGATAACAGCGTCGCTCGTTCACGCAATTCTCTGTCGAAAAACATGCGAAACTAAAAGGTTAACTTTGAAATAAAGCCCACAATAGCAACACAATGAAGGGATGTTAATTCAATGCAGAGCCCGTAGTCGTTAAGTTAAGTCGGTTTGTAAACAACCATATAGCCTTACCTTTTCTTTTCTGGTACAGTTCCTGTGTCCATGTCAGGACGAAACGACCTGAGTTGAGTCTCTCTATCGATATCAAGGAGTATCCGGGCCCCGTCGAGGAAACAACTAAAATCCCACCAGTTTTCAATTATATTTACCTGTTAATCCTCGAGTTACATACAAGAACTCGCTGTGTAGATTTAGTATAAAAAAATAAAAATAATAATAATAAGCTTTCATCCGCTAAATCGGCCCATTCGTCGGGCTGTTCTTCAAAGATAGTGCCACGCTGGTGAGAGGTTGCGAGAGGAGACACTCAGACAATCACCGTGGAGGATCACTGGCCCCGCCCCCTCCCCTGCCTCAGCGGGCACGCGCAGTCACATGCTTGTACCGTCGAGGACGCGCACAAAAAAACTGCAACACAGAGAAAAAGACATTCTTAATTTTAAAAGGCCCACTTGCACGCACTACATTAAAACAAATGTGTATCTCAGTAAATGGAGTTAAATCATGGAATTCTCTCGATAATCATTTAAAAATGCTGCTCAAGTATGATTCAATTTAAAAGAATGTATAAAGAAAAGGTTCTGAGAAATTATAACTGTATTGAGTTAATCTAACTGATTGTATTTGATTGTTTCTATATTTTTTATCTATTTTTTGTTTTGTGAAAGAACGAGGAAACAACAGGTTAGCCATCTTATTCTGTTAAACAGTTTCTTGTGTTATTAGGAAAAGGGGGGCAGGTATTATAAGTTTTCTTCTTCCTGCTCCTTTTTGCTCATGAACAGTGTTTCAGCATTATGAGAAAATATTTTTTGTTGTGTATTGTGGTGTTGAAACCATACACTGAAATGAGCAAATAAATCAAATATGAAATGAAATGAAATATGAAAACTCTTTACTAATGGGATTGCTGTTTGAATCTATGTTGGTATGACAGAAACGTCTCTATGATGTTCCCTAAGTGTATTGAATTCAGTGAATACATACATTTGTAAACATTTCTAGAAGTGAATGAGGTTAATGGTGATGAAAAGATTAAGGCCTTGTTTTACTATGTCACTAAAGGTGCATGGTGGGCAACCAGATGAGGTGACAACCACTCAGTTTTACTTTTGTGCAAATAAGCCCTCAGGAAAAAAATCAAAACAGATTTTACTATAAATACCCTCATGTTTCTAATAAATGCTTTTTGGGGTTCCCTCCATGCTTTATATACCTCTCTGTCTGAAGTTCCATGTCTTAAATGCAACTCCGCATAGACCCAGATTTTTTCTTAATAATTGGAGATCATTTCCAAGATTATTGTTTAGATTTATTGTCTGTGGACTTATTTTTAGTGTGTTGACTCTTAAATTCAAAAAGCGGATTTTTAAGGTTGATGTTCTCCACTTTCTTAAGCAGAAAGCCACTCTTTTTAAAATTACAGTATAAAGTAGAGTTAAAGTGTAATATTCTACTTGATGAACCAATAATATTGTCTACATTTAGTGGTTATTAGAAAGAAGTCAGCTAAACATTAGAAGACATGTTTATCTCGGGTGCATAGCATAAAATAGGCCTGGTATTTAGCATTATACGATTAGAGCCTTTGGGCAATTTCAACTGGTATCCACATTACATTAGCAAGTTTACAAATGGTTTGGGTTTTTTTCCTGAACTGCTTTGATGATTTCTATCCGGTCAGGCTCCTCCTATCTGCCCACATGTTTGACAGTTATTCATGTTGCCTATGATTCAGCTCTACGGTTGGAAAAGAAAAATGGAAGGACAATATTTTCCAATCCTCCAAAAAATATCCCAGGCAAGATCCCAACAAATGATGTTCTTTTCACTACACTGCTTCATAACTCCTCACCCTCTCACTCTGCGTGTGTTGGATGTTACACTACAGCAAGGCCAGGCTTTGTTTATCACTTCTCAGAACTGTTGACTGGACAGAACACTTCAGTTTGAGTGGCAGAGCTGCACACTCTGACCTGAAGAAAAATAATATACAGGACCAGACAGGACTTGTGTAGCTTTGCTATAATTTGATATTGGACATTAAGGCCTATAACCCAGAGAGTAACTTTGGAAACAAACAACAAGCAATGCATATGGTGTTTAAATTTTCTGGATTCATCACTTTTTGCTGTCATTTCCCAGAGGTTACAGATCTGGTGGTAAGTCACTGTAGATGATGTATATCTGGTCATTCTGATTAACTTTACAATTGTCTGGCTTAAAAAATATCTGAACCTCGGGTCGCAATTTTTCATGAGGGAGTTGGTGGTGGGTCCTGAGGCTAGACCAGTTGAGAACCGCTGTCTGATCTAGATCACACATGTGATGCAACCTTTCATGTCATGCAAGTTCAATTAGATGCCATGAAGTGACTCTTTGCTCTGTGATAACACAACTAACACAGCTTTAAAAAAGGGAAATGTTGAAATGTACAAGTAAGATTGCATTATCTTTGAAATCTCTGATCGGAATCTGCTTCATGAGTCCCTGTTTTCATCCTTGTAGAAAGTTTTAAAGACAGAAAACCCTGAACTTTTCTCATAATTTGAACAGGGGAAAGAAAGATGAGGATGGGGACATGTCTGCGTAAGGAGTCTATTTCATTATCGGGTCCGACTTTGGGGTATCTTCCACTCAGGCACTGATTCAATCAAGCAGCGCAGAGACTCTGCTGGCAGCCATCAGTACGTCACTGTAATGAAAGTAGAGACAAGGCTCCTAAATCTCTCTTCTCATTCAGACATTACCCGAGGAAAGCTGCCAGACAGGGGCCCCTTTAATGGGCAAACAAAAAGTCAAGTCATTTAATCCAATGTCCTGTTCTTTGTTAAGCATACATCTTTGTTAGGGACAGCTTAAAGCACAGCAAAGTCCCTGAGATCAATGCACCTCTAACTTGTGAGTTGAAAAGGTATTTAAGGTGAGCCGGAGAGTTAACAAGGTTTAAAGCATAACAAGAAGAGCTTAGCAGAAGCCTCAACTTGCACACTTGCACTTGCAAACACAACGTTGTATTTCAAGAGAAGACTTGTTTTTGCTTTCAGGTGTTTGTGTATCCAAAGCCACCAACTGACTGTATTAAACTTCACTGTCTTCCTCGGGGAGAGTGGGCTGAGGAGATAAACAGATGTGGTGACTTCCTCCCTCAAACTAACAGGAAGTGTCCATCCTTAACCTGTGAGGTCAGGGCTGTTCATCCATGGACAGTTACAGCATGGAGCATGCTCCTTTCAGTACAAGTTTTTCCCTTTGTTTTTTGTTCTGTGTGATTAGTTTCCATTTCTACAACCAGAAGCAGTAACGTCCTGTATAAATACTTCAAAAAGGATCACAAAAGCAAGATTGTTTCTTCTTGCGTCTTCCTGCTTCTATCAAAGGCGGCAGTAATGGTCCAGCGTGGTTTCCTGTTTACAGTATCTTCTACTGGTCTGTGATGACAAAAGGAACCACTAACGCCCTCCACCAGATGATTTGATGATACTATACTGCAGGGTTTCATTTTCAGATTTCTTTTTTTTTTTCTACAACCTCCTACAAAAGTATCCATTTCAATCTTGCAGTGAGCAGCAGGGAGAATATTTAATCACTTTTTCTTATTTGCATGTTTGAAAATATCCCTGTGCGAGTCCCTGTCTTTTCAGGGACCTAAAAGATAGGCATAGGTGCACATTTACTGTGACTCTCCAGAAATCTTCATACACACCCAAAGACTCATGTGAAGCCAAAGCAGTTGTCTTCCTCTGCTCAGGTTCAGACTGTGTGGTGAAATAGTCAAACTTCCAGATATTTCACAGTCTACATGAATCACCACAACCTTTTCACCTTCAACAAAGTCTTGCATCATCGTAGACATGCCCTGTTGATAAAATAGGTTGTCACCAAGATGTTTGCCAAGTTGTGGTTAAAGGGCCAGAAAAAAAAAGTACTACACTTAACCTACTTTGTAATACTAGCATCTGTAACTTAGACACATTTTATATTATTGAGCTAATGTTGTGCTGTTTATTTCACCTCATTGAAGTTTCATTATTTGATTTAGAAAAAGAAGGGATTTAACTTCCGATTAGCTAGTGGCTGCATGTCCCTGTGAGTTTTCTTCTTTCCCAGAGTGTGATCACGTCAGGGAGAAGCTATTTCATCTGCTCACTCAGTCCTTCCAGGATTCAACTGGCAGCTGTATTTTTCTGGAAATCTCAGGCAAACAGGGTCAAACTGACTCGCCATTTCTTTCTCTTTCTGGAAGGTTCTAAAGTGAAAATGAAACACAAACCATGCCCTTACACTCCAAAAAATAGCTTTTTTTTTTATTTGAAGTACTACCTGGAAGCAAACCCATCGGGCTGAATCAGATTAAATGTAAAAAAAAAACAAACAAACATGAAATTGTACACCCTTCTAGCACACGTTTCACATCAACTTGTCAAAAAAGAAAACAGGTCTGAATGGTCGAATATCGAGTTGCAACATAGTGAAAACATAATGCAGCCCCTGTTCTTGTCAAGCATGTGTTGGGCTGACTCCTTGGGCACTATGAAGCCTCATGTCTCTGGGGAATGTGACAGCGTCAGACTGTACGTGCGAGGAGAAAAAGGGACAACTGGTGGATCAATGAGGAGAAATCTAGTTCTCCAGTAGTTCAGGCGAAGTGAAGGAGAAGTTACGAAACTCCTCCTGGTTGATCGAGGGGATCAGGGGGTCATCGATAGGTGTGAGGGTGGGCTCTTCCTGAGTGAAATCTGGGTCAAAATTGTTGACGTCCTCTGGTGTTTTCTGGACGAGAATAAAGAGGAATTAGTCAGCAGTCAGATACACAAGGTAAGTGAAAGTCAAACATTACGTAATGTCTGCTGAGTGTTTTCATTATCATTCCTACCGCCATTACAATTCCATCAATGAAGTCCTGTAACTTACGATTCTGGGCTTGAAAGGTGGCTCTACTTCTCTACTATTCAGCTTCTCCCAATCGATGCCAGTGAAGAAGGCGTGGCTGGTCACTGCGCTCTCTCCGCCCTCTGAGGCCACACAGCCGAGACGCCTGGCCGGATTTTTGGTCAAGAACTATGAAAACAAGAAGTTGAATGAATAGACTGACACTGTAGACTTTATGATGACTAAAACATTGTTAATTATCAAGAAAGTGCATGTGTAAAAAGAACCAGTATAAAATATTGGCATCAGAGGATTTCAGCAAATTGTTTAGGATCTGACAAAGTGGGGAAATGTGGCGCAGGTAAGTAAAAAGATCATTTTTTGGAGTTGAGCCAAACTGGACTTGAGCCAGCTTGACATCCAGTCTGTCCCCGCCTCCCTTCCCTTCACAAAAAAAAAAAAAAAAAACACACCCTGGATTGTGACTGGTGCCTTCCATAAAGTTTAACAGGGTTCAAAAGAGCAACTGAGGTGTCTCGACTTCCCGGTGTTGTATACAATAACACAATAGAGCATTAAATTACCTGCTGAGCGCCAATTGTTTCAATGCCACTATCATGTAATAGAGGCCAGAGGCAGAGGCCCAAACAAAACAAACTTCAAATTGAGTTGGAGTTTGTTTGTCTTGACTTGCCTTGCCTTTAGGAACAAACTGAAAAAACAAATGTGTTTTGGAAGTCTGTCTGTCTCTTGGCTGCTGAGTTTGTGCACACCTGAGGGCTGACGGTGACATTCAGAGCAGACTTCAACACAACAACGAGCCTCCATCTCTACTTTAACAGTTTCCTGATTATCCCAAAGACACTGGAAACATTTAATACCCCCTGCTGATTGGTTAATCAGCTCTAACAAGTAAAAATGTCAAAAAAAAAGAAAAAAAAAAAGAAAATCAAACATGGGACTTAAATTGAGTTAAAAAGAAAAGAACAAGTGGAGGAACTTCACACATTACTGTTGCCCATAAAACATCTAAATGACATCATGGTTCACTGCTCATGCAGTTTCGTGTAAGAGCACTATTTTGATGACCTGATTTGTATTTAAGTGGCTAAAACATATATTCAAAACCACAGTTTACCAGAGCAGTACTTAAAGTGGCAATGAATGAGTCAGTAAGACATGCTGGGGTCGCTCAGTTCGGGAATTAACAAGACGACAAAACCTGGGGAAAAAAAATTCCACTTGATGACTTCTTTCCATGGTTGCACGCCAGCTGTGCCATTCTTAATAGACGACCTGCCGAGTCAGCATGTCTGCATGAAGAAGCTGTTTTCTGACTCAACAGGGGAGCAATAATAAGCCTAAAACTTTAAGTCAATCATTTAATCGTCAAAGGGAGAGGAAACTAGTCATGAACAGCTTTGGATGTAATGGTACATGATGATGTTAATGAAGAAATGTAACTATCAAATCCATGATGGTTCCATCTTCAGCTTGAAGATTTTTTGTGTTTTAAGTATTGATCAGAAAAAAGCAACTTGAGTTGAGTAGCATTTTATAGTTAGAGGCTAAATGTAGATGTTTAATATATTAAAAGATAAATTCAGTTATCCAAATGAACAATGAACACTATTATGTTTGAACCCTAATAAATACATTCATTTGATAACCAAATTTGACTTGTTTTTTTATAACTCTCAGTATTTTTATGCATTTATTATTCTTAACAAAATCGACATTTCTATGGAGATCCTTAGAAACTCAACCTAACGCTCAAGTCCATGAGGTTGGGAATGGGAACAAGGAGAACTTTACAACGGATCAACCCTCAGTATAAATAGTGCAGCAGCGTTCAAATCCACTCACGCTGTCATGCATCTTTACGTAACATGTGACACTGGGAGCTCTGACATAAATCACCAGGAGAGATCGGTCCAGTGCTCGCTCATGCGTGCCAGAATAAAAACATGAATAAAAGGAGGAGACGAGGGGGCTTAGGAAGAGGAGAAGAGGGTGCAGAGAGGAGGAGAACTGGGGGAAAAGAGCGGGAGGAATGGAGCACGGGGGTATCTTGGTATTTATAGCTTATGTGCTGTGGCTGGGCAGTCAACCATGCCTTAATATAGTTATGTAAGAGACCCAGGCCAAACAGCTGGCTGTCAGAGCGCCATCGGGCTGGAAGTCACTTTGCAGCCAGAGTGTCAGACAGTCTGAAGGACAACAAATAACAAACCTTGACATCAGATTTCAACCTTTGATATCTCAATATATGACACTGAAGGCATGTGTTAAACTGTCCTGGAATGCAGGAAATGTGGTCTTTTAGTAAATGTTCACACAAATCTTTGTTTTTTTCCTGACCATGCTGGCCAAAGCCACACTGATAATTGATTTCCTCTTTCATTGGTTGAGTGGAATTCTTTCCTGCAATTGCTTAAAGTTAACGTCTGACAGAGAAAATCTAAGAAGGGTTAATGTTTTGCAAAAGGATAAAGACTACATCGCACCTCGCCTCTCTCATTTAGTTTTTTTAAGATGATTAACTATTACACTGTTAAACTCAAACGAAAAGACTCACAGCTTTGAGTATATTCACAGCCTCTTTACTGAGCCAAGAGGAGTAAACAATCTCTTCATTGAGGATAGACTCAAAGAGGTCATCTTCATTTTCAGCCTCAAAGGGGGCGTGTCCCAACAGCATCTCATACAGCAGCACCCCGAGGGCCCACCAATCAACAGAGGGCCCATACAGCATCTCCTGCAGGATCTGTGGAAACGTCACAAAGCAAACATTAAAGTGAAACACCACTGCACAGAGAGCTTTAGAGAGCAGACGAGTGTGCGGCCAGAGAGGCTACACAGAGGTGCTAGTGTTTCTGACAGCAAAGAAGCCTTTCATAAATTCATAAGCACAGTTTTGGAAGAAAGAAAAATGCCTTGATTATGGGGGCAGAGACCATTTTAATCCCTTATTATGAAAACCAGGCATGCCTTCCCGTCAGGAGGGAGGGAGCTGACCGCAGTGTTTGTTTTAGTGGGGGTGGTGTGACGGAGCAGAGATGGAAAAGGGAATTGCATCATATGAATGTAAAAGACCTGGGCTGCCGGTATTTCAAAGTTATTCAAATATATATTTGGATGCAATCTTTTAAAATATACTGTATATACAACATCGCAGGTGTGGGGTGAATAAATGATCCAAATATTTGTCATTAGAAGTTGTTATGATTCTTGACCAGTATTTATGTAAAGTGAGTGTACATTGATTCTAAAGATTGCAAATACTGACCTCTGGGGCGATGTAATCAGGGGTCCCACAGAAAGTTCCTGTGGCCACACCTTCAAATATGCCCTCTTTGCACATGCCAAAGTCTGCCAGCTTACAGTGACCGTCTTTGTCGAGAAGAACGTTGTCCAACTTCAGGTCCCTGAAAGGCAAGATAAACGGAGAAGTCAGAAAATCTGTTATTTATTGATATATAGCAGATGTAAATGAAGACAGACGGACGTAAATTACAAAATCCAAATAAAGCCAGGGGTTGCGGTTATGTCACGTTTGGGCTCATATTTTCCTATTTGCTGTTGTTTCTACTTATATTCAAGAAATTTGTGGTGAGACAAGAAAGAGGTCGTCTGAGGACAGAGAAGCTTCTGTAGCAGCAGAAGCCAAAAAACAGCAACATCAGCCAGGAGAAGTCTGACACCTTTAGAAGACAAATGGAAAAAATGACCTGATGCCATTATTTATTTTACCTCCAGGGAAGGCTAAAGTAGAGATTCTTTTTTATATGAAATATCAAATGACCTGAGGAAGTGTTCTGTAATGAAAAAAAACTACTCACTATAGTAAACACGTTCCTTACTCCCACAGAAAGCAATAAACAATTCTTAATATAACTTGAATCTAAACAACATCTACTCATATATAAAGTGTCCAAGGAAGCATTTCCTTCAAGTGCTGACTATGCACGTAGATACTCCCATAACTTAACACATGGAGAAATATCCAGATGCTTCTTTGTCATCTGACTGAGAGATGAAAGCTGCTGAGTGTGGGCTCTAGAGTTCATCAGTGATCAGGTGGACCAAGATCATTTTATAGAGACTGACTAAAGCAAGATGGAATATACTCTACTGTCCCATGCTGATAATGAAATTAAATAACAGCATTTAAACAACTTTAAAGGACCGTCAGGCAGCTCTGGTTTGGTTGGATATATCTGGTTTGGTTGGATTTATCTGGTTTGGTTGGATATATCTGGTTTGGTTGGATATAGCTGGTTTGGTTGGATTTATCTGGTTACTTCATTGTGCGACAAGTGACTCAGATGCTCATGGTGACTGTCCCTCACAGTCTAACAAAAAGGCCTAAAGAGAGCTGAAGCTTCCACATCATGGCCACTTAGCTGTACAGCACAGTTTGGAGGATGTTTGGGCTTTGACTCAGAAAAACTAATGAGACTAAATGTATTCATGTTTAAGTGGGTGTTTGTGGTTATCATCTCCCGAGATAAGATACTGAACATTTGTGTTAGTATGACTGTGTCCATGTAGAAAAGGGGGCTGCGTGTAATGTATATAAGCCACAGCAGTGTACCTCAGCACACTGGACAGACAAGTGTGACTTAGTGTCTCTGTATGGAGTCTGTCAGTCAGACTGTGTGGAAACAAAAGCAACAATTCACACCTGGATCCCTGACAAAAAACTGAGGTATGAACTTTATCACACTGCACGAGCAACTAAGTGTAAAAGGTGATGTTGCATTCATTTAAAACATTTCCAAAGAACGGACAAGGAAGTGCTGACAAAGGCTGTGACGCAGGCAGTGAAATCGTAAGTCTGACTGTGGTTAGAGGTTTCAGGAAGGACAGACATCTCTCTTGCACAAGAGCCACATAATAAACCTCACAAAGGCGGTGATCACTGCAGGGCTGCTGCACGACATTGAGCAGCTGCTCGTGATACTGTGTTCGTCACCGTAGACTTTTGTATAAGTGGCTTGTCTCAATTAAAATGTGCAGTTTCGGGGTTCAAAATGTCTGAAATAAAGTCTTCAAATCTCAAGAGCCTTTAACAAAACAAGAGGTTTGTTATATCAACAAATCTTTTTAAAAGACATCTTCAAACATTCTCTTAACTTCTTTTGGAGGAGGACGGAGACATTAGCATTCAACAACACATTGACTGAGGCTACGACCTTATTCTAAAGAGGCAGTATGAACTCTGCTCTTCTTAAACGGATGGCCTGTAGCGCACGCTGCTATATGCCACATTATTTTAGTAGTAGCATGCAAACTGCTTGTGGCCTCTTAAGTTGACTGTCATGCTATGTGGTGCTGGCTGAAACAAGCCACATGGACCACTAAATATAACTCAGGATTAAGCTCACATGATGCCCCCTCGTTAACATCATACACTGGCAGGGACACCATTGCTTTGTCACCCTACTCATGCTCGTGGATAACAGCATCCTAAAAAAGAACTCAAAGAATAAACTCAAATACCAAATGCTGGATGAGAGCAGTAAGGTGATTACCTTAATGGAGATATTTGAAATTTGAGTGCACTGTTGTGATTTTATTTTGTTTTGTTTGATACATCCCCACCTTGTTTCAGTCAAGATTTTGTCACACACATTTACTGTAGTCAATTTGAAGTCTCCAAAGAAAAACGGATGTATAAGCCTGATTGTGTAATCAGGGGTTATCTTCTCAAACTTCATAAAGCTGGATGTACATTTTCCCTGTTAGGAGTATTCTGGATGTGTATTCTAAAAGTCTAATTATTTAGTTAAGATGGACAGATACTGCAATCTAGAAATCTTTCTGTTTACAAACATGTTGTATTTCTTTAGGCCCATCCTATTGGATGAGTGTTAGTGTTGCCTGATTCACACCTGTAGATGATGCCTTTGCTGTGCAGGAACATGAGAGCGGAGGTAATCTCTGCCGTGTAGAAACGCGCTCTTGGCTCTTCAAACTTCCTTGACTTCTGGATGTGGAACATCAGATCACCCCCATTCACAAACTCCATCACAAAGAAGAGCCGGTCCTTCAAAAAAAAAAAAAAAGGGGAAGCAAGGAAATTACATTTACACTTTGTGCACACAAACCAAAAGAGCCTCCCAGAAGCTCCTGGGTTATTAAACAGTCCAAGAAGCCATGACCATAGACATTCAGAGATTGCTTCAAGGAGGATGCACATCTGCTTCTCATAAATTTCACATGTCTGTTTAATGGATTTCTGTGCAACTAGCCGCAGCTGAAAGTCGGCCGGGCAAAAAAAAAAGAACTGATCAAATCCATAAATCTTTCTTTTTCATTACAGACTGTGGTCGATAAATGATCTAGAAAATGAGATCATGGAGGTGGAAAAAATACTGCAGGAGAACGTGATGTAAAGATCTGCTCATAAAGCTTCCTGAGGTGATCGGGACATTCAGCCTCTGCTGAGTTTGTTTAGCTGCTCTGTGGTTTACAGTGGGCTGCTGTTTAACCTGAGATTACATATGTGATGTTAAATAATGATGTGCTGCACAGGCAAAGAAGGCGGCACTCTGTGTGAGGTCCAGGTGTGGGAAATGTAAACTCCAGACTAGAACATTTCTGATTTGACATTTCTATTGAATCTTATTGATTTCTATATTCTAAAATGTTGATCACAATAATACTTAACTCAAACATTTTCTTTTCAGAAATCTTGGCTTATTGTTAAGATTATTTTAAGTTCCACACAGTTATTTTGTTTCTACTTGAATATCTTAGTAACCCTACACCTGAAGGTTGCCTTTTCAAATTCAGAGCTAATTATTGCCCCTTGGATAAATACAGTTTTTTTTCTATTAATCACTCATTTTTTGTCTGCTACTTCTGAAATGTGTGTAAATGGTTGAGTGCAAACACTGAGAACCGGACAGTATATGACAGTAAATGTAATATCACAAATAACCCTTACATAATACTCTGGACTTAAAAATGTCTTTAAACATTTTTTAGATTAATGTAAGAAAAATGTATCAATGGCTGGTGACTTGACAAGTTTACCTGCCACATCCAATGTTTATCCATTTATTAGCAGTGTTTTAAATTTGACAACTGATCAATTTCACCCATGTCTTTGTTAAACGGCAGCTAAAAAGTGAAGATAATGTTCTGTAGTGGCACGAAGGATAATCTGTTGTGTGTGTGCGTGTGAATCCGTCAGGATAGAAGTGTCACTTCAGTTAAAGTAGGCCAGCAGGGGTTAAACAAAAAGCAGATTAGAAGGATGCAGTCTGTGCCAGAAGCACCTTGAGCTCCCTCTGAGGCACTGCTGCCACCTGCTGACCAATGTACACATTACAACTCCGAGTCCTTATTCCACAATATAAACTAACTGTACATACAACAGTATTTCTAATTCTACCCTTTTTGAGGTTAGTTACTAAATCAATTGATGATGTTTTGAATTAAGGGTAAAGTTTTGATTGGCATATAGAAATGTTTTCTGTCAGTGAATTATTCATTTGTTAGATTGCCTGTGTTAAATGAGCATATTCATTGTGTCTAAATTAATGTATTGATAATCATGACAGTTAAGAATGGAAACTTATCTCTAAAAAAACTAAGAGTGACATTACCAATGTCATCATTAACGTCACAAGATACTTAAATACAAAGCATTTAAACTGGGTTTTTTGTATTTATTTATGCTTAGAACCGATCACAAGATGATTGCTAAGAATTGAAAGATAATTATAACTGTATACTGTAACAAAATAAGGATGAAGATAATTACAAGATACCTTAATTCAGGAATGTAATAAATAAAGTATATATACAGTTTATATACTTTGCATATTTTAGGAAAAAGGTATTTGGTTAGAGATAAAAATAAACTTGGCAGTATCAAGTCTGCTAAAGATTGTCCTTTCAATACGGGCCTACTGAACTGCATCACAGGTGCATGTGTGCATATCCCTACTCACCGGGGTCTGGAAGCAGCAGTACAACTGTGTGAGGTAGGGGTGACAGCAGGCCAATGACAGAACCCTCTTCTCTGTCATGGTACACTCAACATCATCATCCTGTAAAATGATGTCCTTCTTTAACACCTTTACTGCAAACACTCGTTCGTTATTGTTGAGTCTCGCCAACATCACCTGCAAACAAAAGGCAAACACAAACGAGTTTGATTGATGAGAATTCACGGTATTTAACAAACTCTGCATTATGTTGATTCAAATCCTTTCAGAGCGGATGAGCTTTTGTAGTAACTTTGCTTGGAAATTTGAATTAAAATCATCAGAAAGAAGCTTAAAATATTTCAGAATAAGATGTAAAAAAATAAATAAACTTGACCTCATACATGTTCCACTTCTTCACATTAGTCATAATTTATCCACACAGAGCATGTTTCACATTATTCTCTCGTCATTCCCACCTTGCCAAAACTGCCCTTGCCAAGGACTTGAAGGAACGTGAAGTCTGAGAGGCCAAGTCGGGGGGTCTGCGGCTGACACTCCCTACTCTCGCTTCCTTCAGGGCACGGCTCTCTCATCTGACCTGCACTTTTAGCCTGTCAGAGCAACATGAAAAAAACAGCACTTAGATCTGGCTGATAAAGACCACATTTAGGTCAAATGAATCCTCATTCAACTAATTCTGGAAAAACTCAGCCTTTATACCACTGAGTTGCGTTTAGAGAGTCCTCCAGCCTGCAGACCGATCTCTGCAAGCTTATTGGCCAGCTCCACACTGTTGACCCCACAGTTGGGCGCGACGTTGCCTTTACAGCGGATGTGAACATTCATCTTACAGCCTGAGGAGAGCAACAATACAAGACAAGGAACATTTAATAAGACCAATTGGCGTTTGAGGTCCTGATGTTCAGACATAAACATTGATGTGAGTCTTACTTTTACAGTGCAGCCCCTGCCGGACTATTCCCCACAGCAGAGAGCCGCAGTGGTCACAGAAGGTGGGCGACTTGTAGTTGTGGTGGTTGAACTTGTGAGGGACATTGATGCTGAAACCCTGGTTAATGGGCTGCAGAGGGAAAAACACACTGTTATCTCTTTTTCACACTTTATGTTGTAACAGCGTGCTCAACCACTGTGTACATAATTTAACTGCTCATAAGCAGCCACATGAACTGTGAACAATCTTTAGTTCGTATTTTTGACATAGTTGACCTTGTTTCTGTTTATTGCTGCATTTGCTTCTCTTTTAATTTCCCAGAGGAAGAGAAACTTGTACTATTCAGCAAAATGTAGTGAAATGGAACAAAGATGACCAAAAGCTGAGATGCAAACAAGCAAAATTGTATTTAAAGACACATTTTCAAGCTAAAATAGATGTACATGGAAAGATTTAAATATAGTCGGGTATAGTGCAGCGTTCTGGCTCAGTGGCCAGCTTAACATCAAAACAGGAACACGTACAGTCTGCTTATCACTGCAGGTGGTAATCAGAGGTGTTTGTGTTTCTGCATGTGTATGAGGGCGTATAGGAGGGGGCTGTCTAAACCGCTACAATTTATTTATTTGGTGAAAAATAAAAGTGACAACATGATTGAGTGTCTGATCACTTTGCTATTGATAAAATGATATGTGGATGTAAATGAGCAGCACACTGAAGGGTGTTTTTGGCTTTATTAAAGTGTTGTCCTACCTGTTCTTTAGCTGGCTTCTTCATGAGTGGACACACTGTGACGACGTGCTGGTGGCATCGTTTATGAACCACACAGGTACACACTAAAAAAAAAAAAAAAATGTCAAACTCTCAACTCTCCATGTTAGAGTGAGTGTTCCAAAAGTCAGACAGAGTTTAAAATTAAAACACGGCCTACTCACCTTGGCACTGGTAACCCTGCTTTCCAAAAACACCCCTACAACAGAGACAGAGACACATCAGATTCAGTTCACAGGAAACACACATGCATGCAGGAAGCACTGATCACCCCTGCTCCACTGTCTCACCAGATGAACTCTTTGCAGTGGAAACAGAAGGTGGGCTGACGGAGGAAGGTGGACATGAACTTGTGTCCATTGACCTGGTGGATCCTCCGTCTCACGGCCCCCTGCCGCTTTCTTGTAAACTGCTTGTATGTTTTCTCTTGGATGATGGCGTCGTCTGAAATGCAGAAAGAGAGCTAACATTTGAGTTAGGAAACAACAGGAATTAAAGGTTTGAAAAACATCTGAAGTAAGAGTGGATTATTGTCATACTGTGGGTTTTTATTTAAAGCCTTAATATTAATATTCAATTCCAAATTGTCTGGTATTACAATAAGAGCATCTCTTAGTTCATGATTTTGCTTTTCTCACAGCTCCCATATTTTCAACCCGGCTCTTTTAAGCTTCAAAGTACCCACCACGCACCTCCTCCTCCTCCTCCTCCTCCTCCACCTCCTTCTCCTCCTTCTCCTCCTCAGCAACAAACAATAGATATTTAGTTAGGGAGTAGCCGGGGGGTCAAGCAGCCAAAGAGCAAAAGAATTCCACAGAAGTGTGTATACAGCTCCACGTGGATGTAACTATATGTTCTCTATTTTCCAGTCATGTAAATAAACTGTTTGCTAGCAAGTTTTCAATGTCATCTAAAAAAAAAAGGTGATAATTTATCACTATTGTGTTCAGACTGCTGTACTTTTCACTTTAAAACAAAAAGAAAAATAACCATGTTTCATGTAAAAACTGCTGAACCGCTTTGTAAATAATAAATGTCCATTACAATTACAATTCCATATTTTTCCAAATATCTGATAAAATTATCAGAAGAATATCATCTAGATTGATTTTCTCCTTGTCATCATTACTGTGGCATGACAGACAGTGCAAAACATGCAGTATATTCTTTTGTTATAAAGTTTTATTTTGAAAGATTAATGAGATACAACAGTGGACAGAAAAGGCTGAGCAGAACAGCCCTTTAGACATTCAGTTGTGTGGATTCATGTGCACATCTTTATACAGAGGTGCATATCTGCATGGTTGGTCTATGTGTATGAGCTGAAGCGAAAGTGAGCCTTGGGGAGGGGTTTGCGAGGTTAAAAGCAAACACACATTCAAGCATTACTGAAACTGCAGAGCCTTCACCTACCCCAGCAAACACGATGTGTTTGTGGTTTAAGTGTGAAAGGGGCTTTACATCAAGAGATGCTGTACACTGAAAGACCCCAATGCATGAACACAAACATTTTTATTTTTCTCTGCTGACGCTCAATATTATATTACATTATATTACATTATATTATATTATATTATATTAGGCTATATTATAACAGATAACCCTCCCAGAATGACTTAGATGATACATTAATTTTGATTCAGCTAACTTCAGTGTAATAATAATACATATGATGTTAACCTAATGATCCAATGGGTGTTAAAATGTAAACTCAAAGCAAAGGTTCAGTCTTTTAATGACTAAAAAAAACACATCAGGAATGGTGTCTTAACTGGTAATCACGAGTGAGTTTGTTCATGTCTTTGCATTACCACATGACTTAGTGTCTCCCCTTTGTGTTATTTTGAAGGCCCTCACATCCCCCCCGAGGTTTACCAACACACAAAAATGTATTGTTTGCCTTTCGGGCAGTGTCAATTTTGCTACTTTATAGAATCTGGCTGGCAGTGTGGTAGGATGACGACAGATAAAAGATCAGGTAGGAATAATGTGTTCAGACGTAACCTCTGAACATATGAGGTAGGAAACAAGCATACCTGGCACATACCAGCCAACTTCAGTCACACAGTGACGTTGTGCACACCTATTCTCAGAGCCTCTACTGTTACGCAGGTATATATTAGCTATTAAAGGGCTCTAGCATGTGCGAAACTTTGAGCTGTGGTTCAACAGTAGCAGACTTACCATCAATGAAGGATCCATTGAGTGTAACATGGATGTAAACTTTGCCCTCTGGCTCCAAATCCATCTGCAGACACACAAACAGGCAATGTTATAATTCTGGGTAATCAAATTACTAACCAACAGAAACAGTACACAAAGATATTAAGATCCACCACAATTCCAACAAGACTAAATCATAATTGGAAAAACAAATCTCAACTAACTATATATACCCCCAAATAATATATATTACTAAAGAAAGTTAGATTTATCATTCTCATTTAGCTGACAGCAATAAAGCACATTTAAAAATGTGGAAATTATAGTGCAAAAGCCCGGTGTTAGAGGCATGGCATTGAGCATCAGTCCTTCAGGAGACATGCAGCTATGTAGCTTCATAGTTTTTCATTCCTCAGTCTGTACGTAATGTCAGAGGAATTTGGACACCGAAACAGAAAGAAAACAAAGCAGGTCTGGCAGGTCTGGCTGGTTGCAGAGGTTGTGTTGACCTGATGATATTGCTGGGCAATTAATCAAGTTTGAATTTCAATTATGATTTTTGCTTCCCGTGATCAGAAAAAACAAAATAATCAAGATTCACTGATTACTGTGCCGCATGTCCTGTTGTTCATAAGTTTTGTCATGAGTGGTTAATGTTTCAAAGTGCCAAAAGAGTACATCACCACTACCTCGCATACAAATAATTGTCATTTATTGAATTATATTTTGTAGTTTGATTTTTGGGCCTTTTACCTTTTTTCCACAGGACAGCGAAAGAGAGACAGGAAATGACGGGAGGAGAGGTGGCTTGCAGCAAAGGGCTGCGGTCAGTTTCCAGTTATAGGTCGCTGCGACGAGGACTTAACTTCTGTACAAGGGGCGCATGACACCTCCACGTTATCCGGCACTCTTACTTATTTAATTTCTTGCCCTTAAAGACTTGTGATTTTTACTATAATCGAGCAGCCCTACCTGATGATCAGCTGAGACATATGATTAAAAAAGTATAAAAAGTGAGAGAGGGTCTTTTTAGAGGCAGAACAGCATACTTCCTGCAGTAACCATTAAGTGGAAAAACAAGTTGCGTTATGCTTTAGCTCTATTAATGTTGCACATACACCCCCGCCTAGAGAAAAACAGTTCACCCACAAAACACATCGGGTTTCAGTTGTGACCACTCAGTTCTTACTTAAGTGTAGAACTTTTCATTTCAATTTAAGAAAGAGATCATTTCATATCTTTTCAGACATCTCCATATTGTTTCCATTTACCTGTTGATATCGTGCATCTGAATCTACAGTCTAGACAGCCAGTTTGACTGTGACAATTTCCTTAGTGTTTGTGTCATCTTTGATATTTTAACCATTTCCTTTGTCCAAGGTAAAGGAAAAAACAAAATGCTGCAATGCATGTAAGAAATTAATCTATCCTCATGTCTACTGTAAGAAATGTATCGCTCCTCATGTCTATTGAAATGTATCTCTCCTCATGTCTATTGAAATGTATCTCTCCTCATGTCGACTGTAAGAAATGTATCTAAAAATAGGAAATTCAAAGGGTTCACATAGTTTTTCCTGCAACTGTATGTGAAATGTTGGTGATGGCAGCATGATGGAGTAGTTTAAAGCAGAACTTTGAATGCTTCATCACAGATGAGGAAGTGTCTAATTTAGAAACAGGCGATGGGGCCTGTTTCACTCGAGTAGACAGAACACTTTTCTGCGAGGCCATATCTTACTCACTTTCAGTTTCAGAGCCCCTTGGGTTGACTTCTAAACTTAAAACCTGAGAAACAATACCAACGCCACAGATAACACAAAATAACATATGTACAGCATATGATTTTAAAAACTGAACAAGTGAGCAACAAGTCAAAGGAGTGACAGTGTGCTGTCATGATGTGTTAACAAGTGGGAGGCAAAGGAAACGGGCCTTGTGTTCAAATGCCATATGGTAAATGTCTCAGACAGATGATGTCAGTCCTGACACTTCATTATTAGTTAAAGAAGTAAGTATCAGTTCCTTACTTGTCAGTGTCCTTTACAATTGTTTGTCACTATATTGACAATTTTAAGTGAAAAGAGTTGGAAACAAAAGTGAAGAAGTTGTGTTGTCAGTTTACAGCAGCAACGACTTCAAGTACTCCGTGTGTTCATTTAGTGAGGGGTTGAAGACACTGAAAAAAAGTTAAAGGAGAAAGTAGAACATCTCGATAAGAGTCATTCGAGAGTGAGTATTTCACAGTGAGCCCCCGAGCGCAGATCAGACGGTGGGAACGATGTGATAAACAGCAGTGTGGGCGTGTGGAGGCCTGTGTCTCAGACTCAGTGGCCTCACGTGTGAAACAAACCAGCCCAGCAGCACTCAATACTTTGCAACAAAGCACAAAAAGCCTTCACGGCTCAGATCCAGCTGATAACAACTTCAAGCTTGTGTCTCAAAGTGAGAAAGTCAGATGCAGTAACAAAGACCAAGCGCTCTAATTTCATGCCACTGGGGGTCTCTGAAGATGTGAAAAAACTGTTTGGAATATTATTTTCCTTTCTTAATTTTCTGACATACATCAATATCTATTTTTGTAATTTAGGTAAACGATTGTATCATCATTTTATGAACATTTCAAAGGCAGGAGATACATTAAGTGCAGACAGTAATGCTACGAGTTTCCAATAGTGATGACTTTTAGTTTACTTTGTTTGTAAAAAATGATTTGACTAAAAGTTGTGGTGTGAATCATCAAAGAAAAACATTGTGTGCTTCACTTCTTCAAAACATCATGCCCATGCTAGTGACACTTCCCCTTACTACAAGGCCAATTCAATATACTGTAGATGTCATGTATGGTGAAAAAATGACAGACATGTTGTGAAGGTCCGCTTTCCATTCATTTAAAAAAAAAAAAGTTATTTATCTGCATTTGTCTTTAATGTATTATCTGTATGACTTTACTGCTACTTTGATGTGGTGTTATGCACAAAAACATTGAATTCATTTACTTCTGAAACACACATTCCACCATTATAAAGTTATTTACGGGTTATATAAAGGGTTTTGCTGAATAATATAAATCATCCACATGGTTACTTAATTATCCTAAGCTTTAAATTAAGTAAGGATTGTCGGGTAAAAAACTGTATCACCAAAGGGGAAAAGGTCTGCAGACAGGAGAGAAATCTGCATGTAATGAAGCGTGATGTGCTTAGTAGTCGATACCACCTGAGCGTGCTCCAGGCCTGGGCAGGTTCACGTTACAATCACTGACACCTGCAGTGGCTTAAAGTCCTAGAGGGATGAAAGTAAGTCGTCAGAGGTAGGAGCCGATTTTGGCTAGAGTCTGGAAGAGACTGAGACTCATATGATGCTTTACTGAAAACATCTGAGCTAGAATAAAACTACAATTGCTTTTCACACCTAATTTGTCAAGTGTGAGTAAGAAGAAAAAAACTGGTATGTGTGACTGTAGACCATAACTGCTAATGTTCACAGGAAATATTCTAAGCAGAGAAGCACAAGATGTGAAAGGTCCACGTCCACTCGACTCTACTCAAAACAAGATGAAGATGTGATGTGATGTCGTAATCCTGTACTTAAGAACACTGCATAGGCCTCCTGTCAGACAGCAGCAGGGCTGGGCTTGGTGCAGACGACATGCTGTTAAGGCGTTTCTCGATAAATGTCAGCGACACGTTACGGGCAAGCTTAATAGCATGTTTTGTTTTCAGAACCTCCTCCCAAATATCGATCAGCATGTGTCAAAGCTCTACAATATTCCCTCACTAGTTTTCTAAACAGCCGTAGCTGAACAGGCTGTCATTTTTTTTCAGGCAACCAACTGCATTAAACAGGATCAGGTTTGGCTGCGTAGCTCAGCTCGTCTATGGGACAGAGAGAACATAAGACACAATAGCAGGAATTTTCTTAAAGTATGGAGAAAAAAAAAATTAACTTATCAATATGCCTCTATAAATTAAACTAAATTCGCAAAATGCCGCTATTGTCTTTGACCACATTTTCATGTGTCTGTATTGTGCTCTCATATTGCTCCCAACGGTTGTTAGTTTTAATTCATATAGTACAAGTTATTTGACACACAGAAGGCCGTATCAGAACAGAACAGGCATGTTATTTCAAGGGTTCTGGTTGGTGTCTCTGATGCAGGGTAGAGTTCATTCATTTCATTTCATGTTTGGTTTTATTTGGTCATTTCAGTGTATGATTTCCAACACAATAATACAACACAGCATACCATAAACTATTTTCTGAAAATACACTGTCCGTCAACGAACAGGAGCAGGAAGAAGTAAACTTATAATACCTGCCTTTGACTTAAAAACATACTGTTGATACAGATGCACATGGCTTAGTTGTTGTTAACTTTTTCTTTTACAAATCATGTCAAATTAACAATACTGAAACAATGATGCAAAAATGATGGGTTGCCTGCAGGCGACACCACCTGTAGGCCTTACATCTCTGCTGCTTTTGTGTCACGGCCGCGGAACATATCGTATTAAAGCTGCAGGGATCGCCAGACGTGGTTTCATCTTATCAGAGCATCTAAGATTCAGAGCAGCATCGGGAGTAAGATGCGGGTTCACCTATCTGCGGGTCCATCTTACTGACTAGCACCAGCTACATTGTGATGCATACATCATGCCACTGCTCTATTCTACATTACATGACAGGCTAAGAATATACAGTATGCTATGGGATCAGGTGATTTTTGGATTTAAAAAGGTTGTGGTGGTCTACTCTCTGTGTTTTGTGGATGGGAGATGGTAATTGACCCTGTTAACAGTTCACTTTTGCATAATAGTTGCCTATATTACCTTGGTAGGTTTAATCTACTTGTCACTCACCCATCCCTCGAAAGTATCTCCTGTGTTGGAGGTTTTGATGAGCTCCTCAAACTGGATGATGCAGTTGGCAACAAAGTCATCATATCCGATCGGCGTGTCGTGAAAGACTGCCAACTCGATCTGTTTCCCGTTCTTCACGTTCAGGCAAAACTCCTCGTTGTACGTCGGCGTGTTGGTTTTCTGTTTGGTGTGAGTCTGTCCGATTTTAAAGTCGTCCACCTTCACTATGATGTAGGGGTCCAGACCTGGAGCGGCTTTGTTAAAGATGAGAGAGTGGCGGAGGGAGAAAGTGGTCGGTTTCAGGTCCAACGCCTCACCTATCCGCAGCTTCAGGTAACCGTTAAACTTCATCTTAATTAAGTTAAGGTTAAGCCTCACGCGCAAGGTAAAGGACAAAAACGCGTCATAAAAGTGACCTATTCACATCGGCTCAAAGTGCTGTCATAAGTTAATTGTTAAAATCTTCATACTGTTTTGGTGTCACCTCTCGCGGTCTGAAGCGTTCATCCCGAATTAAGGTTTCTTTCTTTTGCGCTTCACCTTCACAACACGGACGTAAAGCTGTCAGTCAACCCCCGAAACGCGTTTTCTGTCTCAGCTAAAACTTTCAGTGAGAAAGAAGGAAGCCACAACAACAGACATGCCGAGAAGTTCCGCATTACTCGTCTGAGAGCCGACACCACACTAAAAACACACGAAGCCTCTCAACCTGTCACTGTTGGTTTGCTGTGTCACATGGGTGCATTTGTAGTTCTTCTTTTAAAGTGTGTTTCCTGTAATTACCATGATGCATCGCTCTGTTCTCTGAAGGTGCTGCGATGGCTCACCTGACATTGCTTACTGGGGGAAATACTGCCGTCAAGTGGCTTTTTCTTAAACTACAACATGAGAACGTTCATATTATCGGCTAAAAGAATATATGCAAGTACATTTTAATCAATGATTATTATCAAAACTACTTGAGGGCCATGATGTGAAGCTGGATGTCTCTGCAGAAATGAAATATCCATTTAATGAAGGGATTCAGTCCATTCCTACCAGATTCAGTTATTCCCTGGTGGAAAATAAGAGGGATGTCATCCGTTTTGGAAAATAAGCTCTGTGGTACATCTACTAGTCTACTGGACTACATGTAGCCTGCTGTTGGCTCCATACTGATTATGGCTGCTGAAAACTCATGTTCAACATTTGCAGCATAGACATTAAAAAGGGTTTTGGATTCAACACGTAGGCCTAGTCTAAGTTTTTTTTGAACGAATGTATTTAATCTCAAAAGGGTTGTGTCTGAGTAGTCAAAAGGAAATGCTGTAACTGATCACAAGTCATGGACAACCCACTGACTGGATTCGTTGTGTGCTGGCTTGATTTGTAAAATTATCCAGTCAATCAGCAGAAAAAGTAGGAAATAATGGAAGTCCATTGTAAACCTTGGTTGATTTAGTTAAAGGGCATTTAGTTTTAGTTTTGCTGTGATTTTGAGCTCTATAAATAAATAAAAATCAGTGATTTGAGATTTGAGGATATAATCCTTTGATTATTTTTGAAATTGCAAAATATTTATGGTGATTTGGACCTCTTTACCTCCAAATCAAGCATCTGTTTTACTTTTTTTTGTGGTGAAAACGAGGCAAAAAAAAATCTTCTTTTCTGATATTTACGGACCAAAATATTTTTGGGATTAAAAAAGATGCAGAAGGAGAGTTCCAGTTGCTAATAGAAATTCTGTGGAGGTAAAAGTAGACGATTTTTGTTAATGAAATAGCCTTTTCTTCTCTCTGTGATATCGTTTTCTTCTTCAAAATGACATGCTGTGTGTGTGTGTGTGTGTGTGTGTGTGTGTGTGTGTGTGTGTGTGTGTGTGTGTGTGCGTGTGCGCGTGTGCGTGTGTCTCCTTCTCTTTCTCTGTCAGGGTGCCGTGCCCGCTCCATTCATAAATGCCAAGATCAAAGTCTCCACTTTATTGGTGTTAGACTTGACCTCTCACCCTACTCTGCCAAATGTCAGCGCTTCACATCTCTCTGCTCCAGCTGTTATAAATAAAAAGCCGAGATCGCAGATCTAACACATCCCTGGGGTACATACCGTCTTGTAGACAACATCTCAGAGTAAGAGGTGACCTTACTGACCAGAGACGTATACACAACAAATATAGCTACATTAGTTTTATCAGCAGCAAACTCTAAATATTGTCTGGTTAGCCTGATGGATTAAAGTGAAACATTTTATACCAGAAGTTTAGACTGCACAATCCCCTCCATCACCAACTAAACATTTCAGTAAAATTCCGTAAACACTCAAAACAGTTGCAGTGTTTTTAATGTGTTTTTTTTTTTGTGCCATAGGGAAAGACGTTGTGTTTTAAATAAATGGATGAAATGTGTTCAGTGTTTCATTATTCCAGCAGAGGGCACAATAAGACTACATGCTCAGTGTTTTTCTCTTCACTTTTCACCAGCTCTTCTCTCCCTACCTCTCTCATTCAAAATGTACTTTAAATTGTATTTCTACAATCCTTCAGTCGTTTTCCATACTCAAAAGCGGGCATGTTTAAAGTGAGTGATGATTTGTTTTGTTACTCTGTTTTCTAAGTTTTATTTTCTTCTCGTGTCTGTCAAATGTGTGGCTCTTTTCCCTGCATCTTATCCTCCTTCCCTCTTTGCCCCCCTACTTCTATCAATCATATTTCAAGCTAACTTTCCTCTGTAAGTGGTTGTCACGGCTTGAATTATGCACCCGTGGGAATAGTCTGCAACTTCACATGAACTAACACATAAGTCAAAACACAAAATTCTGACATGCACATGTACACACATAAACACACGCACTCTTGGACACACTCACTCTCTCACACACACACACACACACACAAACTTATATATATCCATAACAGTAATTTCTTAAGGTGTATCTCCCCAAGTTAGCAAAATTTGATTGCACACAAGCACAAGGCTGGCTTACCAAAAGCCTCCCATATTTCAGAGCTCTCACAGACTCGATCTCTGCATAGAACTTTATTTCAGCCACCTGTAGAGTTTCCATATTCAATTTATTTCCGTGTGACCCAGAACAGCTCAATCCTCTGGATCCTTGCCCAGGTATACACCCTATAGCTGCAGCTAATGAACCAAAGCATCGCTGCCAAAAAAAGGGCAGCGGGGAATAAAGAGTGTTCAGCCCAGATCTGGAGTAGCCCAGTCCCAACTTGCTTGACCCCAGTTAGAGAACTCCTGCTGGGCCAGTATACACCCCCCACTAAACTACCCTCTATCCTGCAGTCACAAGACCCCAACCTTTCCTCAGGTAAGTCTGCATAGAAACATATCAAAAACACACATGCAAACACATACACTTGCACTTAAATCCCTGTGGCTGTCTGAGGTGGAAGTAGGGTCGCTCCATAAATCACACCTGTAAAAGCTGATTTGGTCCCAAATGTTCTTTATTCACAAGTGGTGTTTACGGTCAGCGTTCCAGCATCGGGGGAAATGATTTATGTTGTAGCTTATGTTGTGGAAAAGTCCATGAGATTGTTTCATATTACTATTTAGAAAAAAAAATCTCTTCTTTTTTCCCTTTTTGCTTTAAATAGCACCTTCATCAGGAAATCAAGGTAGAGAGATTGGGTGAAATACACCAAAGGACATTATAGACTTGAAGCTGTAGATCAACTCCTCTTCTGATTGGTTTAAAACAAACAGCATCGCTGGAAGAGAGAGAGAGAGAGAGAGAGAGAGAGAGAGAGAGGATACTGACAAAAATAGGTTGTCGTGAAAGTGGAGGAATGTGACTGTCTGAGTTGGACAGCAGAGCAGCGCATAGTGTAGTAGAGGGTGGTGGGGGGGGGGGGCTCTGTCACAGCCCCTCCAGGGTAATTGGCTCCAGATGTGAGGCAGCGTGGCCCCTGCGCCAGCAAGGCGTCAGGGCTGCATTAAAAGCTCAGCCCGGAGCTGATGGGATCGCAGAGGGACAAGCTCACCCCTACACACCAGCCCCAAAAAAACACAGCTTCAACCTCATACTTTGCTGCTGAGCACTGACACTCCATGAATGCCCCTCCGCCCTGTTGCACATCATCAGCCAAAACAACCAAGCACTGTAGGACAATCCCTCTTTTTTTTTTTTTCCGTAATTCATGACCTTGGTTTCGGCTTGGACAAATAAAAAATCGTTCTCCAAAGATTGTTAAGTCTTTGTGACTCTAGTGACAGCAATCTTTTGGTCAAATCGATTTCATGCCATTGTGCTGCAGCATTTGTGTTGGCTGTTGGCTGACTGGCAATTTTTTTTACCTTGAATGCTTTTCAAGACAGCATTATGTTTTCAGCACACTATGGTCAGGTACAAGGAAAGTCAGCGGTGCTCAGCCGTGTTCTGGCATCCACAATGAAAGTACAGTGAAAGACATTACTTGTATACACAGGAACATCATGTAGGAATAGCGGCCGAGCCATATTCATTAAAAAGAAGAGGCGTATGTCTGTGTCAAGATTATGGCTTTATACAGAACAACTAAAACAAACCTTGGCATGTTGAACTGTTTTTGTAAGATATAATACTTTAGTCCAACCTCTATAGCTGATCTTTTTTGAGTGGGAAGTCTGTACTTCGTAGTATTCGTGTGCCGTTTTTTCTTATTAAATCTCGAACAAAGAATGGAGAATGTGAGTGTAAATGGATTAAATTCCACAATGTCCAGAGGATCCAATGTGTAAAAAAAAAAAAAAAAGAGTCCTCAAAGCGGGAATGCTCGCACTGTGACACAAGGAGCATGTTTACTGATAGAGTGTGGAAATCGATTAAAAGCAGAAAAGCTGCATGCAATAATGGTGGAAGAAGGGACTGGAAAGACAAAAAAAAAAAAAGTTAGATTGAAAGCACTTCATCAGTGATGACATTTACGTATCGATGGCATTTGCTGAGTTGCAGTCCACGACCATGACTAAATGAGAAAACCACTCATCATGCCAGCCTAGCATTAAAAGGCTTATGTGAGAAGACCCTTGAAGCACCTTTCAGCCAGGAATGCCTGTTGAACAAGATCATGCGGATAAACAGAAAGCAGATGTGCATGTACTGAGCTCTGACTTCCTCTACCTGTAAAGGCAAGTGGATCTAATGTTGTTAAAAATACAAACAGGAACATAAAGTGGAATGCTACAACGAATCTGCTTTCTGCCAATACTAAATTGTAGAGCCTCAAAAAACTAAACAATCAAGACTGTTAGGTGCTTAATGTGATATAATCTAGTGACTCCCAAACGATTTATTTTTGTCAGACATATTCCCACACCCCTGTCAGATAGGATAGGTTTTTGAAACTAATTTTGAAGTTTAAAATGTCTCTACCTCACCTGCCTCCCCTGACCGCATGTCTCTGAAGGAATTCAGTGGAGGTAAATGTATTAAAGATCATCAATACACCAATGTAATTTTTCATGTCTTTGAAACAAATCCTTAATTAATATATAAAAGTGAATTCTCAACTGAAAACTCCTTTATTTTAGTTGAAGCAGTTTTCCCCCCCGGCAATTGCAGATGTAGGCCCATCAATTTATAGGCTGGGTGGTATTACTGATCTAATATATGAAACCAAAAATGTCAAACTGTGTCAGGGGTCAAAGCAGCGACATTTGGATCAAACCCAGCTGTAACCCAAAAATCCTGTTCTCCAACAACAGAAATGATTTTCAGAGAACACAG